AACTGGTGACCCCTTGGTTCATGGGTCAACGTTCAATCACTGAGCCACTCTAGCTGGGCTACCATGTCTTTAGGTTGACACATTTAATCCATTTGCATTTAAAGTAATTGCTGTTAGATATATATTTATTGCCATTTTTTTTATTATTCATATTTCTGATCTTTATTTTTTCCTTCTTTTTTTATCCTCACTCGATGACATTTTTGCATTTATCTTCAGATAGAGCGAGAGGGAGGGGTGGGGGGAGAGAAAGAGAAACATCGATGTGCTGGTTGCACCCAACCAGGGCTAGGGAAAATGCAACCAATTATGTGCCCTTAGCAGGAACCGAACCTGGGACTCTCTGGACCGCAGGCTGATGCTCTAACTGCTGAGCCAAACTGGCCAGGGCTTTATTTTCTCCTTCTTAAAGAAGACTCTGACATTTCTTGTAATACTGGTTTGGCCGTGATGAACTCCTTTAGCTTTCTCTTGTCTGGAAAGTTCTTTTAGAAAAAAATTTGGGGAGGGCATTTCCATGTTTGGGAGTCAAGGACCGGGTGCCCTTCTTTTTCGCTAATGCAAGAGCCTAGTGCAGTGGTGGGAGAGGTGTCTGTGAAATCTGTGCCCCCGCTGAGGCCTAGGGCTAACCCATCCGACTTCCTGTCCACACGGAGCCCACTGGAGTCCCAGCCATGTCCGGGGACGAGATTTTTGATCCTACTATGAGCAAGAAGAAAAAGAAGCCACCTTTTATGTTAGATGAGGAAGGGGATGCCCAGACAGAAGAAGCCCAGACAGAAGAAACCCAGCCCTCGGAAACAAAAGAAGTAGAGCCAGAGCCAACGGAAGACAAAGATGTAGAAGCTGATGAAGAAGACAGCAGGAAAAAGGACGTCTCTGACGATCCAGATGACTTGAACTTCTTTAATCAAAAGAAAAAGAAGAGCCCTGGCCGGTTTGGCTCAGCGGTTGGAGCTTCGGCCTGCGGTACAGAGAGACCCGGGTTCAGTTCCCGCTAAGGGCATGTACCTCGCTTGCAGTTTGTCCCCGGCCCTGGTTGGTCGTGTGGGTGGCAGCTGCTCGATGTGTCCCTTCACGTCGATGTTTCTCTCTCTCTCTCTTCCTCTCGCTCTATCTGAACAAAAAATGGAAAAAAAGTCCTCAGGTGAGGATAAAAAAAAAAGGAAACAGAAAAAGAAGAAAACAAAAACAATATTTGATATTGATGAGGCAGAAGACAGTGTAAAGGACAGAGTAAGTTTCTTCCCTAAACCTTACACGCCCACTCTATCTGAACAAAAAAAATGAAAAAATGTCCTCGGGTTCTCGCATTGGTTCTGTGTTTGTGTGCACGTGTTGAATACCTCATTGTATTAGAAGTCCTGCTATAAGTATGCTCTCTCACGGTAGGTCACACACAAGAGAAGCAGCCACGGAATCTGTCGCCTCCGGATTAAGCAGCAAAACGGAACCGATTCTGTCCTATTTCTGCCTGAACACGCGGAACAAAAGTTAGTGACTGGAAACCTGGCGCACTGTGGCATCTCTTGCCAGCAGCTGGTCACCCGAAGGTGCCTTTTGCTTTGTTGGAGTTGCTGGCTCCCGGGGAACCACAGAGAGGGTTTGGAAGAGATGGCTCGCCACGGGGAGGGTCACGACTAGTTCCTCCCGGACTCCGCGACAGGCAGGGGTACGAAGGGGCCCAGACGCCGCCGCTCCCCCGGAAAACCGAGCGACCCGGGCTGACTCCGGCGCAGAGGTCGCCGCGGCGGCCGCTGGAGCTGGAGGGCGGTGCAGCCCGCGGGCGAGAAAGGCGAGGGCGGGGACGGGGGCGGGGACGGGGGCGGGGACGGGGGGCGGGGTTGGGGAGTGAGAGAAGGCGGGCCGAGGTGGGCCGAAGCTCTTCCTGTACCAGGTTTCCGGCTCCGGGTCCCGGAGGGGACCGTCGGTCCATAGGCGGAGCTACCGCCCGCCGCGATTTTCAGACTCGTACCATGGCTTCGTGCTGGTGGCGGTGCAGGCGCGGCTGCTCCTGGAGGCCGGCGGCGCGGAGCCCCGGGCCCGGCTGCCCTGGCCGCGCGGGGCCGTGCGGGCTGCACCCCGCCGCCGCCCGGGCGCAGGTGAGGCCGGGGAGCGCACGCCGAGGCGGGCGCAGAGGTCACCGCGCAATGACAGCAGCGCAGAGGAATGAATGGGCGCGAGCGGCACGTGTGCCGGGCGGGGGGCCTCCGGGCGGTGTGAGGATTGGCCCCCGGACTGGCTGGCGCCGGGATGGGGTCCGGCCTCCGGTGGGACGCGGTGGTGGGCTGCCGGCGTCTGTCTGCCTAAAGTCGGGGCGCCCCGCGCGGAATTGCAGAAGGACGTCCCAGGGGCGTGGAGAGAACTTGGAGCTTGGGGAGGGAGCAGTGATGAGCCAGGTCCCGGGGGAAAGGCAGGAGTGGTCACCTTGTCTCCTGGTACGGACTGCGTCAAGACTGAAGATCATCTGTAGCTATTTCCTTTCGAGTTGCACAGCCAGGGCTTCGGGAGAACATATCTTAACTGGGAAATTAGAGTAAAAGGTGCGCTGAGCCCTCAGAGATACGGAGGATCCAGGTAGCCTCTCTGGTGGCCTCGACAGGCCGAAAAGGTCTTGTGGAGGATGCAGGGCTGAAGCTAAGGGTGGGCAGGATTTCAGCGGTACCTAGTTGCTTGGAAGGGAGAGCTTACCTAGACTGGTGAAAGGAAAAAAAGCCCTGAGAATGTCAAATAGAGAAACCTTGGGGTCATCTTTAATTTGACCTGTGGCTTTTAGAAGTAGTGTCAGAATCTCAGCTCTAACCATGATTCTCTGACTTTGTACTGCCTGTGGACCCAGTCTCATTTTTCTCCCTTTTTGGTCAGTGTGGCCCTTGTAAAATGCGTCTATGGCTCTGTGAGTCCTTTCTGCACTTTGTGGTGATTAATTCTCAACCTGCCCTAGGCCCATACCCTTTAGCGTAACTGCCCAGGATCTATGGACTCGCTGTCCTTTTTACATGCTCTCTGGGCACATAGTAATTGTATGTGTGCACCTCTCATTCCCCAAAGTTTTTTCTTTCTTTTTTTTTTTTTTAGGTTTATTTGAATTTAGGACCCTTCTGTTTCAGTCCGATTTGGTATGTTTCATGTTTGATGTGTACCCATCAAACACCATTTACTTATATGAAGTAGGTGGTACATATAAATGTCTACTTTGTACCAAAGTGAATATATACCACAACTTATCTAAAAGACATTTGGCAAGAGAATGGCAGCTGGGCTAGTAGGTAGACTCAACAGTAAAGGGAGAATATGGGAAAAGAGCCTCGGGACTTCGCTGGGATCCCTTTCAGTGTGGCCCTAGACAGACTTCAAATGTTTCTCGTTCCTTCCTCATTTGGAGAGATGGATGCACCCACTATCCGATGCCACTGAATAAGATACTTCTTTTCTTTTTTTTTTAATCCTTACCCAAGGATATTTTTTTTTTTACGTTAATCTTCAGAGAGAGCTGGAGGGATAGAGGGAGGAAGAGAGAGAGAGAAACATTGATGTGAGAGAGACACATCGATTGGTTGCCACCTGCACAACCCCCTGCAGGGCCAGGGACGAACCGCAACCGAGGTACGTGCCCTTGGCTGGAATCAAACCCGGGACTCTTTGGTCTTCAGTGACGCTCTTACCACTGAGCCATACTGGCCAGGGCAGATACTTCTTTTCTTTGACACTCTTTTTTTTTTTTTTTACTCCATAACCACCCCCTTTATTCCTCCGGCAACTTTCTTAGCAACAGAAAGAGTGCTTTCTTGAAGAGGCTGTGTCTTAGTGACCGCAAGGAGGGACTGCACTGAGGATGCCAGTGCCATGCGTTTCTAATTTGTGTGTCTGGAAGGAAGTGTCTTTCACTGTAAATTAATACATTAACCGTTTGGTGTTTGCTCTAGGCTTGTGCTTTGTTAGTTCAAGTCTCTTAGGGCCTGACAGTCCTTGGGGACAAAGAGCAACACTAATAAAGCCACCTCCAGCTCTCCAACACAGCTCTGCTGCTTCCTGGTGTATGTACATTCTCCCTACCTGTCCATTGCTAGTGTTAACAAGTCTTGTAATCAAACAAAACCAATGTGCATTAGATTGAACCAAATCACTTGTCAATATGTCTTTGATTCTTACTCAGCGTTTTTTCCTATTTAAAAAAGTAAATTCATAGAAGGCAAGGTTGGCCTTCAGGGAGAATATGTGATAGAATCATAGGGAACAAAATCGGAATTGGATGTTGACTGTTGCTAGTGCTAGTATTGGTACACCAAGTGACACAGCTCTAGTTTTACAACTCCCTTTTAATACTTTACAGTAGTACCCCTTATTTGTGGTTTTGCTTTCCAGCTTCAGTTACCTGTGGTCAAAACTGTTAAATAGAAAATTCCAGAAATAATTTATAAATTTTAAATGCATACTGTTCTCAGCAGTCTGATAAAATCTCGCACAGTCCTGCTGTGTTTCACCTGGGATGTGAACCATCCCTTTGTGCAGCAAATCCACACTGTATACACTCCCTGCCCCTTAGTTACTGAGTAGACCTTTCAGTTGTCCGACTTCATGGTATCACAGTGATTGTATTCAAGTAACCCTTATTTTATGTAATAATGACCCCAACATACAAAGTAGTGATGCTAACAATTCATATATGCCAAAGAGAAACTAAAATGCTTCCTTTATGTAAAAATGTGTGTGTATGTATGTGTGTATGTATGAAAAGCATGACATATATAGGATTTGTTATTGTCTGTGGTTTCAGGCATCCACTAGGGGTCCTGGATGTATCCCCTGCAGATAAGGAGAGGCTACTGTGATGCTCTTCTGAATGCCTCCAAACCTACTTTGGAAAACATTGCCCTAAGATACTCTTAAAGCAGAAAATAGCTTGACTGAGTAGATAATATATTAAATGTATATAGTGTATTAAGCTCTGAGCTCAGAGCTTTACATAGACTCTCTAAATTAATCTCAGCATCTTTCCAGGAGTACATATTATCAGAAAGATGCACAAGGTAACACAGCCAGGAAATGTTGGGATTTGAACCAAGATCCATCTTCCAAAGACCATGCTTTTAACAACTGTCACATTGCCCAGTGGGTAAGAGCACTCTGTATTAGCCGTGTCATTTTAACTCTTCACCCCCTGGTTAAAGGTTAGGTCTCAAGACTGAATAAGTATAATAATAAAATACTGAATTCATATGAACTGATTACCCATGAAGACTGACAAAAGTAGGTTAAGTGACACATAATGGTAAAAATCAAAAAAGATTATCACTTTGTTTTCTTGGGGTATTGTAATTGCCTGGTACACCATTAATGTTCTTATTGATATCATGAATATGTAATGTTGTGGTCCAAAGAACAACTCAGACCATCTTCTTTGGCCCTGCTTGCCTGGAAAAGTCAAGCTTTATTGTCATTTTATTTATTTTTTAATTGATTTTAGAGAGAGGACAAGAGAAACATCTATATGAGAGAGAAACATGGATTGGTTGCCTCCAGTACACGCCCTGACTGAGGATCGAACCCGCAACCTGGGTATGTGCCCTGACTAGAAATCGAACTTGCCACCTTCCAATTGAGCCACACCAGCCAGGGCTTATTGTCATTTTTTTTTTTTATCCTCACCCAAGGACATCTTTCCATTTTTTGTTCAGATAGAGTGGGAGGGAGAGAAAGAGAAACATCAATGTGAAAGGGACACATTGAGTGGGCCACCTCCTGCACGACCCAACCAGGGCCGGGGACAAACTGCAACCAAGGTACGTGCCCTTAGCGCGAACTGAACCCGGGTCTCTCTGGACCACAGGCTGACACTCTAACCGCTGAGCCAAACCGGTCAGGGCTTGTCATTTTAATATATCTACAGTCGACCCTCGTTTATCGCAGTTAATCAGTTCCAGACTCTCCCGCGACAAATGAATTTCCGCGAAGTCGGATTCTTTATTTATATACTTGAAAAAACTGTGATAGAGTGAAGCCACGAACATCAAAGCGCAAAGTGGAGAGGGACGACTGTAAAGCAAAATGTGTTCACTAAAGAAAAATCAGAAAATATAAACAAAAAATGAAATGAAACAAACAAAAAACAATCACAATTCTAAAATAACTGTTTAATATCCTGTTTATTTTATTTTATTTTATTATTATTATTTTTTTATCCTCATCTGAGGACATTTTTCCATTTTTTGTACAGACAGAGTGGGAGGGAGAGAGAGGAAGAGAGAGAGAGGGAAACATCGATGTGAAAGGGACACATCGAGTGGCTGCCACCCGCACGACCAACCAGGGCCGGGGACAAACTGCAACCGAGATACATGCCTTTAGCGGGAACCGAACCCGGGTCTCTCCGGACCTCAGGCGGATGCTCTAACCGCTGAGCCAAACCGGCCAGGGCTAATATCCTGTTTATATGCTTTCAGACCCTATCTTCTGTTTATTGTGTGTGTCTGAATTTCTAGTGGGATCACATAATGTACACAAATTCTGTAGGTGCTTTTTCTTTTGATATTTTCCCTCTTAGTTCTTTTGGCTGGTCAAATAATTGAAATGACAAAACATATTAAGAGAAGAAAATAAACAAATGTAATTATGTATGCACATATGGGGTTCCATAAGAATAGGGGGCCAGCCTGCTGGGGTGGTTCAGTGGTTGAGCATCAACCCATGCACCTAGAGGTCACTGGTTCGATTCCCAGTCAGGGCACATGCCCAGATTGTGGGCCTGATCCCCAGTGCAGGAGCCATGCAGGAAGTAGCTGATTGATGTTTCTCTTTCATAAATGTCTCTCTCTCTCTCTCTCTCTCTCTCTCTCTCTCTCTCCCTCTTCTTTCCTCTTTCTAAAATTAAGAAAAACATTTGAAATTAAAAAAAAAGACTATGGGGCCAGAAGACCTAAGGAGAAAAGGGAGAGTAGTGGTTTGGAATTTCAGGGGGGGATGAATACAATTCATATGCAGGTGGAAAAGCAACCATTTGACAAACAAATGTCTGTTGGCCATCTTTAACAATGAAACACAGAGAAGACTTTGATCAAATGGGTCTTGCTAGGTACCTGTCTGTCTATCACAACCTAGTTCATGTTAAACCATAAAGTTTGTATTAAATCATAATGATCTATGATGATAGCACCCTTCCTGGAGTAGGTCCTCCATTAAATTATTTTATGGAGATAGGGAAAGGTCAAAGTTTCTTCTGGAGTCTTTGATTCTGAAAAATAATTGATATTCCAAAGAGTCATATTTTGGGCTGGCAAATGTCTTCTCTTCAGTATGCAGGCATGTGCCACTTAACGACCGGTATATGTTCTTAGAAGTGCATTGTTAGGTGATATTGTCGTCGTGTGAACATCATAGAGTATACTTCACAAACCTACTGTGCTGCCCTGGCCAGTTTAGCTCAGCGGTTAGAGTGTCGGCCTGCGGTCCAGAGAAACCCGGGTTCAGTTCCCGCTAAGGGCACATACCTCAGTTGCAGTTTGTCCCCGGCCCTGGTTGGGTCGTGCAGGTGGCAACCACTCGATGTGTCCCTTTCACACTGATGTTTCTCTCTCTCTCTCTCTCTCTCTCTCTCTCTCTCTCTCTCTCTCTCTCTCTCTCCCCCATTCTATCTGAACAAAAAATGGAAAGATGTCCTCTGGTGAGGATAAGAAAAAACAAAAATAAAAAAACCTACTGTGCTATATTATATGACTGACAGCACAGAGGTTTGTTTACACCAGCATCATCACCAACACGTGAGTAATGTGTTGTGCTACGATATCGGTAGGCAACAGTTTTTCAGCTCCATTATAATCTCATGGGACCACCATCAGATATGCAGCCTGTCATTGACCAGAATGTTGTGCAGCACATGACCATACTGTATTGTAAACATCTGTATAGATGGTGCCTGAATTACAGTGGTTCAGCTTAATTAAGATTTTTCAACTTTACCTTGGTGCAAAGCCTTACATACTCAGTGGAAACCAGCTAGGCTAAGCTATAATGTTCAGTAGGTTAGGTGTATTAAATGTCTTTTCAATTTATGATATCTTCAAGTTATGATGGGTTTATTGACTTTTCTCAACCTCAGGTTCCCCAGTCGTATATGAAGCAAGTAGTTGTAAGGGTCAAATAGTGTGAAAGCAAGTTATAAGATTTTATTACTAATATAGTGAACTGGTTTTATTTTTTGTGTGTGCTAAATTTGTCTTTTTTGTCAAAATGCTTTCTTCAGCCCTGGCCAGGTAGATCAGTTGGTTAGAGCATCATCCTGATAATGCCAAGGTTGCGGGTTCAATCCATTCATGGTACATACAAGAAGCAACCAATGTCCCTGGCCAGTTTGGCTCAGCAGTGAGACTCAGCAGTTCCCAACCTGTGGGTCACAACCCCTTTGGAGGTCGAATGACCCTTTCACAGGGGTCGCCTAAGAGATAACAGTAGCAAAATTACAGTTATGAAGTAGCAACAAAAATAATTTTATGGTTTGGGGGTCCCACACCATGAGGAACTATATTAAAGGGTCACGGCATTAGAAGGGTTGAGAACCACTGGTAGAGCGTCGGCCCATGGACAAGAGAGACCCGGGTTTGGTTCCCGCTAAGGGCACTACCTTGGTTGCAGTTTGTCCCTGACCCTGGTTAGGGTTGTGTGAGTGGCAACCAATTGATGTGTCTCTCTCATGTCGATGTTCCTCTCTCTCTCTCCCTCCCATTCTGTCTGAAGATAAATGCAAAAAATGTCCTCTGGTGAGGATAAAATTTTTTTAAAAAGCAACCAATGAATGCATAAATAAGTGGAATAACAAATCGATCTCTCTCTCTAATAAAATAAAAAAGTTAAATGCTTTCTTCAAATACTCTGTAAGAGCCCTTACCACATTAGATTAGTAATTTTTGAAATACCTGTGTTCCTGAATTCAAGATTGGCAGTCTGTATCTTTGGGTGCCCAGAGCCTGTCACAATTCCTGATCCATAATCATGCTCAATAATTGTTGGAACTAGTATTTGTCATTACCACCTCTGATTCTTCTGAAGTTCTGGTTTTGATCTGTTATTAAGTTAATATTATCAGAATGTGCTGCTGAGCTTATTTGTTTTTATACCATATCAAGAAATACCACCCTGGCCTGTGTGGCTCAATTCTGTGTACTGAAAGGTCGCTGGTTAGATTCCCGGTCAGGGCACTTACCCAGGTTGCAGGTCTGGTCCCTGGTCAGGGTGCATTCAGGAGGCAACCAACGATGTTTCTGTCTCCCTTTCCCTTCCTCTCTCTCTAAAATCAAAAACATATTTTTAAGAAAGGGAAGAAGTACCATTTCCAAGTATGTTTAGGAACAATAACTTAAAATAGGCAGTGTTTGTGTAAATGTAAATACCCTCCTTAACACTGAAATTTGTTCACTTTTTACCATCTGGGCTGATGCTCTTAGAATCTTGATTATTCTTTGTTTTAAATCAATGTACGGATTTACAAGAATGTAAATAACTAGTCTTTACTATTCTCTGACCAACTGTAGTGAAATGGAAGGAAATTGTTTTAAAACTACTTTTCAGATCTGGAAAGATACTTAAGAATATGGAAACGGTAGCATTCTTTGGGGGAAGGGATAGATTATAGATGTTTTTTATTTTTTGTTTTTTTTCTTTATATTTTCTGTAATGACAGATACTGCATTTCTAATAAGGAAGGGAAACATCGTTTTTCTAAAATTTGCAATCTATCTATAAATGGACAACTTAAAGATTACATGTATTGAGAATTATGAGGAGTTTTTATTTTCAGTTTTTTGCTTTTTTTTTATTAAAAAAAATTTTTTTTTCTTTATTGATTTTAGAGAGAAGGGAAGGGAGAGGGAGAGAGCGATAGAAACATCAATGAAAGAGAACACTGACTGGCCGCCTCCTGCACTGGGGATCAGGCCCACAACCTGGGCATGTGCCCTGACCAGGAATCAAACCAGTGACCTCTAGGTGCACGGGTCGATGCTCAACCACTGAGCCACACTGGCCGGGCTAGTTTTTTGCTTTTTCAAAAAATTATTTTTCAATTACAGTTTACATTCAGTATTATTTTATATTAGTTTCTGGTGTACAGCATAGTGGTTAGACAGTCATATACTTTACAAAATGTTCCCTCTGAGCACTGGCCGGTGGCTCAGCGGTTAGAGCACTGCCCCACAGACCCAAGGGTTTGATGGCAGGTACCTGGGTTGCAGGTGCGATCCCCACCCTGGTCAAGGGCTTGCAGGAGGCAACCAATCAATGTGTCTCTTTCACATTGTTTCTCTCTCTGTTTCTCTCTCTCTCTCTCTCTCTCTCTCTCTCTGCCTCTCTCCCTCCCCACCCCCCCTCCCCTCTCCATCCTTCCCTTCCTTCCCCTCTATCTAAAATCAGTGGAAGATGTTTCTCTCTCTCTCTCTCTCTCTCTCTCTCTCTCTCTCTCTCTCTCTCTTCCCATCCCTTCTTCCGTTCCACTCTCTCTAAAGTGAATGGGAAAATATCCTAGGGTGAGGATTAACAAAAGAAAAAAAAAAGACCAGGTGTCCCTCCTGATAGTTCCGGCACCCGCTGGGCAGCTGCATAGCTATTGCAGTGTATTGACTGTAGTCCGGGTGCTGCACTCTACGCCCCATCACTGCTTTGTAACTACCAGTCTGTCTGCTCGTCCCTGCACCTTCCACCCAGTTTCCCAGTCCCACGCCCTCGGCAACCATCAGCCTGTCTGCGGGGTTTCTATTTAGTGTAATAAACAAATTTTTCATGAACATTCTTACACGTTTCTTAATACTTTTATTTTATAGATGTCCTTTTTTTATCATGTGAAGAGTTTAACATCTGCTTGTCCAAATATGTACAGTATATCACGGTAAGTTTATAATTTGTATTGCAACTACCAAAAGTTTTAGCCATATTGCCAGTAAATTTCTATTCTAAATTGTAGTGGGCTAGCCCAACAAATTGAACATGTTGTTTGAATAAGTGCTATAATATCTGCTCTGTGTGATCTCTGCCTTTTCCAGAAAAAATGGGAATATAATAAAACTTAATCTCAACTTGGAACACAATAAACATGGTTTAGTCTTTCTTTGATTTGTGGGTTCTGGAGGTCCTGGTTATAAAACTAAATATAGCCCGGCCTGCGTGGCTCAGTGGTTGAGTGTCAGCCCATGCACCAAGAAGTCGCAGGTTCAATTCCCGGTCAGGGCACATGCCCAGGTTGTGGGCCTGATCCCCATTGCAGGAGGCAGCCAGTCAATGTTGTCTCTCGATGTTTCTATCTCCCTCTACCTTCCTCTCTCTCTAAAATCAATAAAGAAAAAAATATTTTTTTAAAATAAAGATTAAAAAATAAATATAAACAGTAGTAAACTACAGTTGTTTAGCAAGAACAGAATTCTGTATGTTTTTCTACATTATAATGATCCTTTTGGATTAATGCTTAATTTCCAGCAAGTATCTGGGCTTCAACGTTTTCTCATCTGACTGCTATAAATATATGTATGTGCATACATGTGTATAATTCGTACTTATAAAATATAAAACAATATTCAAACTTATATTTTGTGCATTTGTGCTCATCCCAGGCTCTATCACACAACATCGGCCATGTTCTGTTACAGTAAAACACGGAGTGGTGAGAAATACACCGATCCTTTTAAACTTGGTAGGAGGCACTTGAAAGGTCTGTACGAGGACATTAGAAAGGTAAGATAGTTTTGATGATGCTGTGAAGTATGTTGAGCTTTGAGAACTGAAAACACAGTGCGGGTGTCCAATATGTACAAAGCCATTGCGAAATTAAATGTCAAGTTTCAGAAGTTTCTTGAGCAACAACAATGGGGCAATGTGGAGGATGAAACACTTTGCCATCCAGAAAGAGGTTGTTGCGCAGTTGAGCACCTGAAAAAATAGTACAAGCAGCACCCACATGTGGGTTAATGTAACATGTTCTCTCCAGTCCTGCTCCACAACTACTGAAACACAGGCCTCCGTGCCTCCTGGTGTCTCCCTTATCTAATTCTGAATGTCAGTGCCACACTGCCCCAGAAAAGGCTTTCATCATTAAATTATTTTCTCCCAAAAAGTTTCAGCGTTTTCCAGCCTCACATATATCCTCAAATGCTGCCGAAATGTCCGCATGCCCCTCGCCAACTTCCTTCCCCTCCGAGGTTCTCTGCTTTGCTCCTCCAGCCTCCACCCCACCGTTCACAGCAACGCCACTTCCTGTTTGACAGACCCAGTAGAGCCGGGAGGCACTCCCTCAGTGCCTGCTCGGTCACCGCGCACAAGCGCATCGTGCCTGTCCTGGGAGGAATGCCCCTTCCTTTCCAGGTGCGCCCCTTACTCCCATTCGGCTTCACCCAGGGCCTCGGAACGGCTCCCACAGTGGCCGGTGCTCTTCTTGCTGCAGATTCTTGCTTTTCATGTCTCTTTCCTACCCCTTTTAGGTGCTCCAGTTTGTCATGTAGTCTTTTAAAGGACCGTCCTTTGACCTGGGTCTCCTTCTCCCTCCACGTTCACTGCACCATCAGCTGCGCCTCTCTCCAGCCTCTTCTCTGACCTGCCTTTGCCTGGGTCTTCAGTAGTCTCCTCTAATCAATCCAGTGGACACTTCTGTTTTTATCTTTGACTTTTTTGAACATTGGACACTGCTGACCACTCCTGCTCCATGACACTCGTCCACTCTCCTTGTTCTGGTTCTTAGGCCAGTCTTCCTTCTGCTTCCTGGGTCTCTCTCCCTTCCAACCACCCCCTTTCATTTTGCCATTCTCTGGGGTTCTGTTGGCCCCTCCTCTATGTCCTCAGTTTACCCATTTTCATACTTACGAGTCCTAAATAACATCTCTATTCCAGATTGGATTGTTGTTTTGAAACCCATACATCTAACTGCTCACTGGCAGCTCCGTGGAGTGTCCATGACTATCTCAAGTTTAACATACCTGAATCGCTACTTTCCCCTACTACCTGTCTTTTCTTCTGTTTTTTTCAGGCTCCCCAGGACCCTGCACCAATTCCTCCCTTACCCTCCACATCCCCTTGTCTGTCTCTTGCCTTCAGTCCCACCGCCTCAGGCTGGGCCACCCACATTTCTGTCTCCGTCACCTTGCTGTCTCCCAGCCTCTTTCACCCTGAGCCTGCTCCCATCTCCACCTGCTCGGGTCTTCCCCTGAACTACTCATATCTCCAGCAGAACTTAAGGAGATGTTTGAATGCTGCTTTGATGGAAAAGGAAAATCCTTTTGACCAATTACCGCAGTGGTAATGGCCCGAGAGTATAATAATGGGCAGAGGTGCCTCCTGTGTGTTCCCAGGGTAACTGCGCTTACCTCAGGGACAGCACCCGTCACACTATTGTGTTTTATTGCAGTTACTGTTGTATTACTTCTCATCTAGACTCTGACCTCCTGCAGGCAAGGGACTGTCTTATTTATTTTGTGACCTCTGCATTTATTACCATTTGGCACCGAGTTGATTATAATTTAGTGAGTTAATGATTGGCCTGCTGTATGGTTTTCTCCTGCGCCTGGATAGAAGTCCTCTGGGTCTGTTCTTTTTGTTGTTGTTAATCCTCACCTGAGGATATTTTTCCCATAGATTTTAAGAGAGCCTAGAAGGGAGAGAGGGAGTGGGAGAAAGAGAAACATTGATGTAAGAGAGACATATCAATTGATTGCCTCCTACACATGCCCCGACTGGGGTTGGGGATCACACCTGCAACCTGGATATGTGCCCTTGACTGGGAATCGATCCCATGATCTTTAGGTGCTCGGGCCAGTGCTCTAACCACTGAACTACTGGTCAGGGCTCTGGGTCCATTCTTAGCTTTCACTGCTTCTGGGGGATCAGCTGTGATTAGTTCCAGCAAGTCCTTGCGCAGCAGGTAACAAAACACCTGCATCACCTGGAAGGCTCTCCTTCTCTCCACAGATCAGAGCCCTGCTTATCCTTAGCCCCAGGTCAAAGCCGTCTCCTCCTCCAGGAAATGTTCAGTTTCTCTAGCTCACACTGCTCTCTCCTTTCTTTGAGCTTAAAATGTATTTAATGTACAGCATTGTTCAAATTATAACTGCATTATGTACTGAATATTTCTTTTTTTATTTTATTTTATTTTTAAATCCTCACCCAAGGTTGCCTCCTGCACAACCAGGGCCAGGGACCGAACCACAACCAAGAAACGTGCCCTTGACCAGAATCGAACCCGTGACTCTTTGGTCCATGGGCCGACACTCTAACCACTGAGCAAAACATCCCAGGGCTGAATATTTCTTTTTTAAAACAGTTTTGTGTGCCCTGACCAAGTAGCCCAGTTGGTCAGAGCATCGTCCCCATACGCCAAGGTTGCAGGTTCGATTCCCAGTCAGGGCACATACAGGAATCAACCAATGAATGCATAGATAAGTGTAACAACAAATTGATGTTTCTTCTGTCTCTGTCTTTCTAAGATCAATTTTTAAAAAGACAAAAAAAACAGTTTTATCTCCCTAACTCATACGTAAGCTCCTCACCATCAGACAAACTACACCTTACACTCCTGTTGTGAACTTACCACTGCTGCTCCCTGGCTGCCATCTTGTCTTCCTGCCCCGTGCACGCACAGCCTTACCTTGCTCCCCAGGATAGCCCTGACCGCCTGCTCCGTGGGTCCTGACAGCTCCCGGCGCCCTCCCTCCGGCTTTGTCCCCTCCCTCTATCTGCCAAGCTGCTAGCCAGCCCTGCCCCTCTCCCTGTCAATTGTCACCGGGCTGGGCCACGGGCTCTCCTTCCCTTCCTGCTGCCTCTCAGAGCCACGGGGCAGGGCAGTGTCTGCCCGAGCGCTCATGCCACATGGAGTAAGCCTGGCTTTGCTTGTGGCCCGGTCCCAGGGCAGCCAGGTTTATGGCCATACAATGAAGGAACCTTTTCCTGCTGAGTGTCGAATTTCTGAATTAAAGTGAATACACAGAAATCAAATTCAAGTTATGTAAAAGAAATCCCGTTGAGCCCTGGCTGGTTTGGCTTAGCGGTTAGAGCACCATCCTACGGACCAAAGAGTCCCGGGTTCAATTCCAGCCAAGGGCATGAACCTTGGTTGAGGTTCATCCCCGGCCCCAGATGGGGTCGTGCAGGTGGCAGCCAATTGATGTGTCCTTCTCTCTCTCTCTTCCTCTTTCCCTCCCTCCCGCTCTATCTGAAGATAAATGGAAAAATATCTTCGGGTGAGGATTAAAAAAAAAATTCTGTTGTCTTTCTATGCAATTATGATGCCTGTTGACACAGAGAAACTTTATTTCAGGAACTACTCATATCACCAACAGAACTTAAGGAAATGTCTGAATACTACTTTGATGGAAAAGGAAAAGCCTTTCGACCAGTTATCGTGGTGCTAATGGCCCGAGCATGTAACATTCATTCTAACAACTCCCGGTGAGTCGTTTACTTCCCTCCTCTGTCTTAACTTGGCAGGTCTTCCTTCCCAAGGTTACCGTTTTGTTTCCTGTTTAAGGAGTGCCATGCGTCCAAGAATTCACTTGTGATGAGTAGATTCTGACTTTGAGTCACCAAAAGTCACTCTGGAATCTGGTCTGGGCACCTTCCTTTCCCACCTTTTCATGTCTATGGAGGAACAACTTCAGCTTCAAATAACCATTTTAGAAAGAAGTCTGAAAGCCAAATGTAGGTTTCTTGTTCAGAAGTAGACACTGGGACGTATGCATACATGTGATTGTTTTCCACAGGGGCCAGTTAGCGCAAGGGTTGATGGTTATAAAGTGACCAGCTTTGCCCTGATTCCGGGCACCACACCCCCTGCAGCGCCTGCCTTCCTGTGACTTCCAGAAATGTGCCAAAGGGAAAGATTTTAGTTTGTTTGTTTAATCCTCACCCAAGGATATATATTTTTTTTTATCCTCACCCGAGGACATTTTTCCATTTTTTGTTCAGATAGAGCGGGAGGGAGAGAGAGGAAGAGAGAGAGAGAGAAACATCGACGTGAAGGGACACATCGAGTGGCTGCCACCCGCACGACCAACCAGGGCCGGGGACAAACTGCAACCGAGGTACGTGGCCTTAGCGGGAACCGAACCCGGGTCTCTCTGGACCGCGGGCCGACGCTCCAACCGCTGAGCCAAACCAGCCAGGGCTAGGATATTTTTTTCTATTGACTTTTTTAGAAAAAGTGGGAGGGAGGAAGAGAGGGATGGGAGTGGAGAGAGAGAAAGAAAGAGAAACATTGATAGGATTGGTTGCCTCCCACACAGGCCCCAACCAGGGCCAGGGAAACAGACCTACAGCCTGGGTACATGCCCTTGACTGGGAATCGAACCCGCGATCCTTCTGTACACAGGCCGACGCTCTAACCACTGAACCACACCAGGCAGGGCAGGAAATCTTAAAAAAGGCATTTTGACTGTGGGTCCTCAACTTTTGTGTTTCAAATATATTTAAAATTTAAAAATATTAAAACAACCACAACATTCAGTATTAAAGGAAATCTTGAAAGAAAAGGGGATGCACCCATATTCCCTCACGCAGTCATCTTGGTCATTCCTCTGCCCGCCCCCCGCCCCACTTCAGTCAGACAGTGTGTAGATAATTTTGAGTTCTGCTTTGTTTACTTACCATTGCTTTTAAAGTCTTGACCGTGTTGCTGGAGTCTCTTCATTAGTTGTTATTTTTACATCATGTAATCGATGGAAATCCCAGTAGACCGTAATGTACTTATGCAGTTCCCTAGTGTCAAACGTGTGTAGTATATTCCCTTTTCTTAACAGACAATATTTTAAAGAATGCCTTTGTCGGCCCTAAAATGAAGGCTGCTGTGAGAGTGACCTTCAGATGTTGCTTCTCAGCGGGTGCTCCCCTCTGCCCCCCACACCCTCGGTGCCCTGCTGCCGCTCCCTCCCAGCTCCGCCACAGCGCACCTGCTCAGGGGTGCCTCCCTCACCCTGAGGCTTCCGCAGAGCTCCCAGCGTGGTGTGAACAAGCAGTGAGCTCTCTGAGTGATTTTTTTTTTTTTATCCTCACCCGAAGACATTTTTCCATTTTTTATTCAGATAGAGTGGGGAGGGAGGGAGAGAGAGAGAGAGAGAGAAACATAGACATGAAAGGGACACATTGAGTGGTTGCCACCCGCAGGACCCAACCAGAGCCGGGGACAAACTGCAACCGAGGTACATGCCCTTAGCAGGAACCGAACCCAGGTCTCTGGACGACGCTCTAACCGCTGAGCCAAACCGGCCAGGGCTCTGAGTGACTTAACCATCATCAGGCCCATTTCCAGTTCACCTGGAGGCGGAGCGGCAGCAGTGCTCCCTCTGAACCAGACTTGACCTGCATCTCGTGGTCCAGAGCAGGGCTCCTTGGTGTTGGCACGACTGACATTTTGGGCCACATCATTATTTGTGGCAGGTGGTTGTCATGTGCACTGACATCGGATGTGTCGTAGAGCGGCCCCCTGGCCTCTACCCACCAGATGCCAGCGGCACCCCGCCCCCAGCTGATGGCATCCGCAAATGTCTCCAGACATTGCCACATGTTCCCTGGGGGACCGAACCCATCCCTGGTTGAGAACAACTCATCCAGGGAGAATTTGTGTTTATATTTTTAATTTCTCACATTAACACTCAATACAGTTTGTACCCGCAGAGGTAACATGGAGAGGAAAATAGTCTGCACTGCCCTAACTCCTGTCCGCTGTTAGCCCCATAGGTGAATGTTTTTCCAACTTGCTTTACTAAACTATTTGGATAGCACAGTATCCCAGCTACGTTACTCTCCAAGCCCCAGTTTCTTGAGAAGAAGGACCCTTCCTAAGTTCCCTCCCTAAGGACCCTTTTTGACCTGGCTCTTCATAAGCTAAACATCTGGCCGTTAGTTCTATGGCCCTTAAAGCAAGAAAGGGGGTGTGGGAAGCTTCTGGAGAGCTGGGCCGTGTGTGGGTCCACCTGCTGAGAAGGATTGAGAACAACATGGATCTGACAGCAGAGCAGACTGTGAAGAAGAACACACTCCACAGTGTCAGTAGTTCAGGACCCAGACTTGTAGCAAGCAGTTCAGTGGCAGATAAGATGAAGTCTGTTTTAGTCTATATGGATATATTGTTGAGCATACTGAAAACTTGAATATGTATACCTTCATCAAGCAGTTAGGAAATGCGACTCACATCTTGAGAGTTGTGTAAAGACAGAGCCTGGCTTCATTTGCATTTTAAGTAGTAAGTTTCTTCAGAACCAAACTGATGAAGTTCTATTCACATTCTATAAAACTCCTAGTGATGCAGAGGACAAGAGGAAAGAAGGGTGTCTCTCCCCTGATTGTTATTCAGAGTGGGGGAGCCTCTCTGCTCCCAGGTTCTGAAGAGACTTGGCAGGGGTCCTTTCCACAAACCTCTGAACTGATGCCCTAAGTTTCAGGTCACCTTCAGGACAGGACAAACTCATTCCATCCTCCCACAATTTGCAGATGGTACAGCAGTGCGTCAGCAGAAGCTGAGCCCGAACCAAACCCTTCTTAAAAGCTTTCCTTTGGCTTCCAGCACATTAAATGGATGCTCCCACCAGCCAGCTCTGTGCACCAGATCACCTGGCATGCTCTGTCAAACGGCGGGTTCCTCAGCCCCGCCATTAGACGTTCTGATTCCGTGTGCCTAGGCCTCCACGCGCACTTCAGAGAGTATTGATTCCGATATGGCGGAGATTGTTATTTGAGAAACACTGAGCTTGCCATTTCTTCTTCGTTTTTTTTTTTTAATTCTCACCCGAGGATATTTTTCGATTTGTCTTCAGATAGAGTGGGAGGGAGGCAGAGAGAGAGAAACATCGACGTGAGAGAGACACATTGGCTGGTTGCCTCCCGCATGACCACGACCAGGGCCAGGGACCAACTGCAACCAAGGTGTGTGCCCTTGGCCAGGATCGAACCCAAGACTCATTGGTCTGCAGGCTGACGCTCTACCCACTGAGCCAAACCAGCCAGGACGGAGCTTGTCATTTCTATCAAGCAAAGTGAAGCACTTTCAGCTCATCAGAAGAGACACAATGAAGCACATCTGAAGCCGAACTGGAGCCGTGGGCACCACGCGAGGACTGCGTGTGCAGCCCCTAGATTGGCACCGGGAGTTCTGTCTCTGTGGTTAAAGTGGAACCAGATTTGCCGTGTGACGTATTTGCTTCCCTCCTTTATTCCGAGCCAACGCAATATGTTGCCAAGGTTTGATTTTCTTTTTATAGACAAGTTTTCCTCTCTGGGGGTTTACTTGTAATTTGTTTCAGACTTCACATTATGTATTAGTATGAAGAGGGGAAAAAAATGTATTTTTAAAATCACATGTAAGCTGGATGGAGTGTATGTGGGTGGTCATTATAGTATTACATCTATTTTTGTCTATGCTTAAAATTGTTTATTATAAAAATTTTGTTTTAAATCCAATGAAAGAAAAACAAGTGCCCTGAGGGTGTGACTCATACACACTCCCGCAGGTGTGTGCAGAGAAGGACACAGCCTAGACACAGGGCCTCCTCTTCTCATGCTGTGTCGCCTACCGGGTTTCCTTAGCACCTCTCCAGGAGGCTGGGAGAATGTGGCAGCTACCTCCTGGCAGGAAGTAGAGATGGTGCCCAGCTTCTTCTTGAAGGCATGACTCAGTTTGACACTTGGGCGATTTCATTTTAAAGACAGTGTGAGATTTTTTCTGTAGTCTGTAAATCTGGATTATCTGCCCCACCATTGTGGTAGCTGTGCATAAGCAGTGGCAGTGTTTCCCAGATACAAGCTGACACATTCAAACCTAACTGCATAGGAAAAAGTACATTAGATAAAAGTATAAAGCATCTAAAATGTGATGTTCTCTGTGGAGGCTGTGTCTCATGTCAAATGACAGTCTAAGCAAGAATCTTGATTTCACTGGATGAGAATTTAGCCATGCCCAAGGGCATTTTCATATACTTATAGCGCCTATGAAATTTTTAAATATTTTAAGAAATCTTTGTTGTTTTAGTATCTTTACAAAAACTCTAGTGTCAGTCAGCACTGCCATTAGAGTGCAGGTTCCCAGGAGCAGCCCCAGTCTGCTGACTCAGTTAGTGGTCAGGAAGAGGGCCCAGCGTGCAGGCGCATGGCAGGCCCGAGGCCCTCACAGGTCTTCAGGCAAGTCCCGCTGCTAACCAGTAGGACGGGTATATCTTATTAGAAATCCAGCTGAGAATATATCCTAAGGACTAGCCTTTATATTAAAAAACAACTATAAATGTTTATATATTTTCCAGTGCATTAAACGAAAATAAAATAGGGCTCAATAAATTTACTTGAAAAATACGGTCCAGGCTTCTTACTGTAGCCTCTGGGTATCTCACTGACGGAAATAGATCAGATTGTAGAAGCCATCCTAACATCCATTTCCTCAGTTAAGGAAGTGCTTTTATCGGATGACTTGTCCCTACCCTCCATTGCTTTACTGTTTCCCTCTTCAAAGAATGTTGTGATCTGGAAGTACTTAGAACTGTTAGGATTGTGACAGGTTAATAAATAATGAGCAGCACTTTACACTTGATTTCTAGGCTAAAACTTGAAAGGTTCTAAGGTTTAGTTCTAAAAATCTTAGGTCAGAGGAGCCAATGGGTATCATATTATAAAATTGTATTTAAAGCAATGCTGATTTAGTGTTTATAGTTAAATTCTAGCATCTTAAACACTTCATTCTTCATTGTTTTCTGCCCGGTCTGAGAAATCAGAATGAGCACTATCTTTTATAGATTTTCAAGATTAGGCGTTTCAAGGAAAAGTCATAGTTTAGTATCCCTCTCACTTTCCTCCCCGCCAAGAGATAAATTGATGATATTTTAAAAGTAAGCTATTGAGATAAGTGAGACATTTGGCTATCATGTGTTTAAGTCAGGCAACTATTTTAAGTTGTAAACATTTAGTGGACTATTTCCCCAGTTTGATTTTCTTGAAATTCAGTTTTTAAAAATTCTCATAGCCCGGGCAGAGTGGCTCAGTGGATTGAGCCCTGTCCCATGGACGGAGGGGTCCTGGTTCAATTCCCAGCAGGGCACATGCCCGGGTTGTGGGCCCAATCCCTAGTGGGGGGCATGCAGGAGGCAGTCGATCGATGTTTCTCACATCGATGTTTCTATCTCCCTTCCCCTCTCTCTCAAAAAATCAATAAAAACATTAAAAAAAAAAAAAAAAAAAAACCCTGGCTAGTTTGGCTCGGTGGTTAGAGTGTCAGCCAGAGGCCCGAAGGGTCTTGGGTTCGATTTCTGGTCAAGGACATGTACCCAGGTTGCAGATTTGATTCCCAGCTCTGGTCGGAGTCATGCTAGAGGCAACCCGTCAGTGTGTCTCTCTCACATTGATGTTTCTCTCTCCCTCCCTCCCACTCTCACTTAAAAAAAAAAAAAAATCAATGGAAAATATCCTCAGGTGAGTATTAACAAAAAATAAATAAAAGTTATTATAGATGGTGATGGTGATGGTGATGATTAAAAAGAAACTGGGGGCATTCCCTTTTAACTGTAAAAGTCAACATCTAGTGTTTATCCTATAGTTTGTGTTAAATCTGGGAAATAAAAGGAATTTCTAATGTAAAGTTTAAATACAAATTGGAAGAACATTTTTACAAAAGGTTTGTCTTGGTTATTGAGGTTTTCTTACTAAACACTTAAGACAGTGTTAAAAGCTTTGAACCGTGGTGACTGTTGGTTCTCTAGTACACTTTTTTAGAATGCTTCTCGCCTATCTTCCCCTCCCCCCTGAGATTTAATTTGTAAATTTGATCAACTGACCAAGGCCACTATAGAAGACAGAAAGATGATTCTTCAGCCTGATGGCCGGATTTCTGCAGTGTTTATCCTCTTTCTGTTGTTGATCATACAAGTTCTACTTCTGAATGCGGTGTCCGTAAAACATTATCTTGGCATAAAGCAGCTGTTCTCCAAAGTGATAGAAGTGTCTGTAGGGAAGCCAAAGGTTTTCTGCAATTTCTCTTAGAGAAATAAAATTCTTTGTACTAGATCTGATGTCCAGTTTTCACAAGGTGATTGCTGAGACGGTTGTAGGTGATGTCTTTGTTAAAAGCATTACTTTCTGTTAACCAGAGATGTGCAAGCCAGCCAGCGCTCCATAGCCTTAATTGCAGAAATGATCCACACGGCTAGTCTGGTTCACGACGATGTTATTGATGATGCAAGTTCTCGGAGAGGAAAACACACAGTTAATAAGATCTGGGGTGAAAAGAAGGTATGGTTTGTGTATTGTTTTTTTGTTTTCATCTTTCTTATCAAATCACATGCTCTTTGGATTGCATTTATTTTTCAGATTTGTCTCATTAAAAAATTATGCTTCCTCAAATGTTGTCTTCCAACATTCAGAGTAGTATTCTTGTCCTATCTTTATACAGATATTTGATGATAGATATTACCATAGAAAAATAAATAATATTTTTGGTTATTCTCAATTTTCTATAGAACTCCTTTTGATGATAAGGAAAGTGATTTCTACAGTTATCCAAAAACCTTATTTCATGAGGAATCATACATTTTACTTTTGGGTTCAGATTACTCAGATTCAGTTTAATTCCTTAACCACTTTTTGACTGCCATGTATGTCATAAATCATTTTAAAAACTTAAGTAAATAAAATTTTTAAAGTAACAAAATTTAAAAATATATACCAAAGGTACTCTTTTACAATTAAAATTTTACCTTTTGAAATAGAGGCTCTATAATTTGGGCTTGGTTCATATATGTATATTTTAAAGCATATTTCTATATTATTTTATTAGCATTTCTTGAAGGAGCTGTGCAAATGGAGAGTTTTGCTCAAGGATGTTTAAATCACAGACTGAAGCATGGGAATGCAGTTAAACAAATTAAAGTGACAGTGCACAGGCCTTTTGGGAACAGCTGCCTCCCACCACACACCCCTCATCGCTGCCCTGCCTGTTTGGGCACAGACCAAACACTGATGTGGAAGGCTTCCTTCCTCACCTGCCCCTCGCCCCCATACTGATGGTACTCGGCTCCTGCTGCTCTCTAACTGCCCCAGTAAGAGAAGAAATACATGTACATTGTTACCCTCTCATGCTAGTTTTGCTTTAATGTCCTTGACTTTGTTGTGTAATCGAGCCCTGCAATTTCATTTGCAAGGTTTTTATTTCAAATTTTGGATGAAAAGAATCCCATTGACAGAATTCCATGTATCAGAAAGATGGTAAAGAGAAGGTAGTTTTGTTTCAAAAAGGTCATGGGTAACTTTATTATGTGTCCCTGCAGTCAGCTGTGTGTGTTCAGGGCCTGTCCTAAAGCCTTAGTTGAGCCCTTGGTCAGGGAGGAATGTTGAGAGAACAAATTAAGGTCTTCTCCTTGTCCAGTCCCCTCTGTGACTGCCTCTGCTGTTGAGGGCCTCTTTCTTTTTCTTTTTTTTTTTTAAATTTTTTTTTCTTTATTGATTTTAGAGAGAGAAGGGGAGAGGGAGAGAGAGATAGAAACATCGATGAGAGAGAACATCGATTGGCCGCCTCCTGCATGCCCCCCACTGGGGATTGGGCCCACAACCTGGGCATGTGCCCTGACCCGGACTCGAACTGGCGGTCTCTTGGTGCAGGGTCGATGCACAACCACTGAACCACACCAGCCAGGCGAGGGCCTCTTTCTGAGTGTGGGTGCAGGAATGTGGTTCCCGCTGCCCTCTGCCTCCTTGAGCTGTGAGACTGGTCTGCTCTGCACAGGCACCTGCCAGTCTCCTCCCTTTTCTCCTCTCAAGCAAAACTGCTATGACATTGATTAAACAAAATAAGCCATTCACACAGCACCTCCTCCATGAGCCCCCCTTCCCCTGCCTGGGTTCTCAGCCCTGCCTTCCTCTACCCCTCACCCCAGCCAGCCCCATTCTGACAGCTTCAATTCCATATGCTAGAACTCTGGCCTCCAGGATCCCAGGACCAGGAGAGGGAAGAGGTAAAAGCCTAGCGATCCGAGCCCCCCACTGCTAATGATGTAATGTATATAGTTGGACAGATATATATGTGTGTACATATATGTCATAATTCTAAAATGGCTTCATTATGTATATATCAAGATACATGTTATATAAAATGATGATTAATTGGTCAACAGACATCACAAATTTTAGATACTAGACAACCAATAATAAACACTTAACGTGATTTGTTGAAAATTCTGTGAATTAAAATTTCTCTGAACTCTAGCATTTATAAGTAATTACTGTTATATAACACTTAGGCGTATCTTTCAGTATGCAAGTTAGCGTATTTGATTATAGCATACAATTCATTTATGTCTATTATTAGTTGCAAATACAGCATGGACATCTACTCAGTCTAAAGGAGATTGGAAAAATATTATCTAATCAGTAAAAAAAAATACTGTGTGTAGGAATGAGGGGCAGTGTGGCAGAGTACAGAGAGCCCTGAACCTGGAGCCCAGATTCCTTGGTTCAGTGTTTGCTGAGAAAGCATGTGTTGTGCCCTGCGCTGGGGTAGGCGGAGTCCTGGCTGGGATAGTTCCCAGGGTGGGACCACCAGGAGGTCAGTAAGTGGGAGGTCACTGACTGAGGAACAGTGCAGAGACAGCAGTGCGGGGGCGCTCTGCTCCCCCGAAGGGAGGCAGCTATTAAGACTGAGGGATCTGAGTGCACTTCCTGAAGGTGCCATCTGAACTAAGTATGCAAATGAGCATAAATGAAGAAGGGGAAGAACCGCAGGGGCAGAAGAAGCAGTAAGTGCAAAGGAAGGTGGTTGAGGAAAGAGCGGATGGTCTGGCATAACCAAACTGCAGGCAGCTGCTCTCAGTGGGGCCCGGGGACAAAGCTACAGGTAAGATACTTCCATCTCCTGGCGTCATTTCTTCAGCTCTGAAGTGGAGAGCTAGACTGGGCGAGCTCTGAGAACCGGCTCGTTCCAAACAATGTCCCAAATCTGCAATGTTTTTATAAAATTCTGCTGAGCAAGAGAAAGGGGAAAACATGCATCTGAGATGACCCCTTCCTCCTGTTCTGTGTCTTCCGAGAAGTCAGCTTCATCGTTGGCGCCACTGCTCTGATGCCGCTATCTGAAGGCTTTTGTTTTGTTTTCTCTTCTAGGCTGTTCTTGCTGGAGATTTCATTCTTTCTGCAGCATCGATGGCTCTGGCACGAATTGGAAATACAACTGTTATATCTATTTTAACCCAAGTTATTGAAGATCTGGTGCGTGGTAGGTTAATTCTGACTTTTCTTCCCTTTTATTCCATCTTAGTATTTAGCCAGGTGATAAAACCATGTCTCCAATGACCCCTTTCCTTCTTTATAGGTGAATTTCTTCAGTTAGGGTCAAAAGAGAATGAGAATGAAAGATTTGCGCACTACCTTGAAAAGACCTTCAAGAAGACTGCAAGTCTGATAGCCAACAGTTGTAAAGCAGTATGTACGTTCTGTCTCTTTTCATGTTTAAAAAAACAAACAAAAACAACCTCGTAGCTCTTTCTTGGGAGCTAATTCTCCTAGAAAGAAAATTCACTGGAGAACCTTAAAATAGTAACTAAAACACTAGGAGGTCATTTAGAAAAGAGTTAATCCGCAGTGGAAATTTCTGCTGTAGTTTTTATATTTCTGTCTTTTGTTATGCAGACATTCACTTTGTTTGTAATATATTATTGACTTTTTTTTTTTGTAATCCTCACCTGAGGACATTTTTCCATTTCTGTTCAGATAGAGTGGGAGGAAGAGAGAGAAACATAGATGTGAAAGGGACACATCGAGTGGCCCTCCTGCATGACCCGACCAGGGCCAGGGACGAATTGCAATCAAGGTACATGCCCTTGACCGGAATTAAACCTGTGACTCATTGGTCTGCAGGCCAACGCTCTAACCGCTACGCCAAATCGGCCAGGGCTGTTTTTATTGATTTTTTAGGGAGAGAGAGATAGAAACATTAATGTGAGAGATAAGTATCGGCTGCTTCCTGCACGTTCCCCACTGGAGATCGAGCTTGCAACCCAGGCATGTGCCCTGACTGGGAATTGAACTGGGACCTCTCAGTCCATGGGACGATGCTCAGTCCACTGAGCCACACTGGCTAGTCCAGATACTCACTTTTTATCCCCACCGTCCCCAAGTTTAGCTTTAGTCACTAAATCTAAATTCAAAATGTTACCTTTCCGACAACTTATGAATAATTCTCATAATTGTCATTCCACACACTATTTCTGACACTGTATAGCTTGACACTGTTTAGCCTGGCCGGTGCACCAAGAAGTTGCCAGTTCAATTCCTGGTCAGGGCACATGCCTAGATTGTGGCCCCATCCCCAGTGGGGGGCATGCAGGAGGCAGCCAATTGATGTTCTCTCACACTGATGTTTCTGTCTCACTCTTCCTCTCCTTTCCTCTCTCTCTCAAAATCAATAAAGAAAAAAAAATGAAAAATACACAGGAGAAAATGTCTAACTATAGTATTAGATTGCACTAGTGCCCAGTGTCCTTTTTTATGAGTAGTAGATCCTCCCATTATTTTTAAGTGAAATATAAACAGTCATTTTTCTTCAGGATATAAATTAAGTGTGCACCATAACTTTTTCTTTTTCTTTTTTTTTTTTATCCTTACCCAAGGACATTTTTCCATTTTCTGTTCAGACAGATTGGGAGGGAGAGAGAGGAAGAGAGAGAGAGAGAGAGAAACATCGACATGAAAGGGACACATCGAGGGGCTGTCTCCTGCACCACCCAACCAGGGCTGGGGACAAACTGCAACCAAGGTACATGCCCTTAGCGGGAACCGAACCCGGGCCTCTCTGGACCACAGGCCGATGCTCTAACCGCTGAGCCAAACCAGCCAGGGCCTATAACTTTTTCTTAACATTCTCCCTGGCCTTCCCTCCACTCTCCACATACTTTTTTTTTTTTAAGCCTTACCCAAAGGATATTTTTCTATTTATCATCAGATACAGTGGGAAAGGGGGGAGGGGGGGGGAAACATGGATGTGAGAGAGACACACTAACTGGTTGCCTCCTGCACCAGGGCTGGGGATGAACCGCAACTAAGGTCCTTGTCCTTGACTGGAATTGAACCTGAGACTCATCAATCCGTGCGCCTCTAACCACTGAGCTAAACCAGCCAGGGCCCACATACTTTTTATTCTCACCCGAGGAGATTTTTGCATTTATCTTCAGATAGGGTGGGAAGGAGAGAGGGGGCAGAGAGAGAAAGAAACATCGACATGACAGAGACACTACGACTGTCTGCCCCCACACAACCCCAACCGGGGCCAGATACAAACTGTAACTGAGGTACATGCCCCTATGGGAAACCCAACCTGGGACTCTCTGGTCTGTGGGCCAACACTCTAACCGCTGAGCCAGACAGGCCAGGGCACACATACTTTTTAAAAGCTCAGCAGTTAGAGTGTCGACCCGCACACTAAAGACTCTCAGGTTCGATTCCAGTCAAAGGCACGTACCTCAGTTGCGGTTCAGTCCCCGGCCCTGGTCCGGGTCATGAGGGAGGCAGCCAGTCTCTCTCACATCAATGTTTCTCTCCCCCCGCCCCCCCGTCTCTCTCCCTCCCTCCCACTCTATCTGAAGATAAATGGAAAAAAAAATGTCCTCAGGTGAGGATTAAAAAATAAGAGCTCAGTTAGCATTGTCCTTAATCTGTAGACTAAAAATGTGTGGGGTCCAGTGCTAGCTCATAAATGAGAGTTCTCTCCAAAGAATAATCCCTGTAGCATGTCTCAGCCTAACAGATGTAACATATGAAACCTGAGCAAGTAACAATCCCTTGTAACTAAAGAACAAGAATGAAAACCTGCAAGGGGCAAATATGACTTGCCGTCGTGATACACTGTTAACGTAAGTACAGTTAAAGAGCTTTTCCTCCGGCCTCTCAGACACCAGTAGGGTCACTGTTTTGAAAAGTGTCAAGAAATGGATAATTGTGAGCCAGAAAAGAATGAGGACAACATTTTCTTTCTAAAAAAGACCTAATTGAAACCCCAAGGAATGTGAATTATGTAGAATATGCTAGCCACAATTTCAGCCACTTATGTCTTTATTAAAAGGGGTATTTTTATTTCCAAGAAATTGCAAGTTTTTTTTTAAAAGACAGATGAAAATATGACAGCCACAAATGCCAACTAAAAGAATGACATATTTAAAATGGGTGCCATGATTATTTGATTATACCCGTGATGGCCAAAGTTTCTGTGAAGCTCCAGATCCATCCTTATAAGACTCCCTGGTGTGTGCAGTGAAGCCCACTGGTGAGTTCGCCAGCTCGCGCCTAAGGCTAGAAGCACTAGCAGGTGAAGGGGCTGTTGGAACGAGAAACAGAGAATCACTGTCCACACAAGACAGACATCTCTTGGGCACGTGGCAGCAACACCACTCGGAGCCAGAATAGGAACTAACGCCCTCAGTGATCGATTCCTATCAAGGGTCCAAGAAGAGTCATTCAAGAAAGGCTTAATTATGGTCACTGTCCTCTGCTTAGGAAGCCAAGGCACATGTATCGGTTCATAAAGAGCACCTTGTCCTTCCCAGATTAGCAAGTAAACAGTGGATGTGAATGTTGGCATGGCTCAGCCCTATTAAAAATGAAATGTTTCATGCTGTCCACTAGGAGGCATGCTGGCATCATCCCAGAACTACCCACTGGCATGGGATTTATTAATAAATTCCAGTGCTATTAGAATAATAAAGCAAAATCAGTGTGGGCTCTCTGAATAAAAGTTTCTATATGTTAAGTGCCTATGGGTGGAAATTTCCAGAGGGGCTATGTTTTCAAAATTGCTATTTTTATATAGCCCTGGTATTTAAAATGCAAATATATGTGGACTCCAAAAGAATGTATGTGAAACAAATTGGAGATGCCAAAAGCGGGATAAAGAGGTGCACTTAGTGCTGCTTCCTTCTGAAGGAGCATCCTTCTGCGAGCCTTGCCTTTCCTCCTGCGGGCTGACAGAGAACGCTGCAACAGCCAGCATACAAAACTGCTGTTGGTGCCTGGCTAGAGACGGTGGTGGTTCTATAGCACCCTGGGCATTTCACATCCATGAAGTAGGAATTGGGGCTCTGACCAGAAGCTTCTTGTGTTTCCTCTTCTCTTCTGGAGAGTATGAAGGAGATCCTTAGCAGGAGGCATATTGTCGTGGGGAGGTCGTCACCATCGGAAAGAGAAAGAGTTTAAACATCAGGATTATTACAGAAAAACTAATAGAATTCCATGATGTTTTGGAATTTGAAGGAAATTTAGCAGCTTATAATTCCTTCTACTAAAACCCCCCCCACCCCCATTTTTAACCACTCATTGTATTTCAGTGTCTAGGATTGTTTTGTGACACTGATATTAAAATAGAAGTAATCTTAGATGATTAGCTATTTATTTATATACATAGTCACGCCAAATACATTCTATAGTCTACAGTGAAAGCTGTGACTTGTGCTCCAGAAAATCTGATGGGAACGAGGCCTACGCGGTCTGGTTGCCCATCCAGTGCTATTCAGTCCGACAGTGGCTGAGCTGGGATTTGAACTGAGAACTGGGTATAATATTTCTACATTTATTTGTTTTCCTCTTTTTTTCTGAATTTATGTGGGTGCATGTGGCTTGGAATCAATGAGCTCTCCTGTTGTTTAGTTTTCAAAGATACAGAGTGCCACCACCGAGTTTTAAGTGGGCCCTATTTGTAGAACACTCCATATTTTGGTTATGATATTGTTATTTAATCTACAGATAAACCTTCTTCAGATTTTGCCAGTTGTCCTAATACTGTTATAACAAATGGAAACAATATTTTTCTGGTCCAGGATCCAATCCACGACCTCATGTTGCATTTAGTTGTCATGAATCCGTGGTCTCTTTTATTCTGTAACAGTCCTATTATCCTACTAGTGATGTTCACTTTGGTCATCTGACTAGGGTGGTGCCTGCCATGTTTCTTCACTTTCAAGTTTAAACTCCCAATCTCTGGTTTTAGCATCTATTTATAATCCTTTCCTGAGGCAGTAATTACTATGCTGGTTGCCAAATGGGTGTTTTAATTCCATTATTTCTCTGTATCATGTTTCTACAGTTGAGTTGGTATTTTAAGGAAGATTTTTGTCTATATGGACTCTTGGATTCTTTTCTTTTTTTTTAATTTGTTTTTCTTTATTGATATTAGAGGAAGAAAGAGGGAGCGAGAGAGAGAAACATTGATGAGAGAGAACATCAATTGGCTGCCTCCTGCATGCCCTCCACTGGGGATTAGGCCCACAACCTGAGCATATGCCTTGACAGAATAGAACCGGTGACCTCTTGGTGCATGGGTTGATGCTCAACCACTGAGCCATACCAGCTGGGCAACTCTTGGATTCTTATTTTTTCTTAAAATATGTTTTTATTGATATTGAGAGAGAGAGGAGGGGAGAGGTAGAAACATCGATTGGCTGCCTCTTGCACATCCCCCAGTGGGGATCAAGCCTGAAACTGGGGCATGTGCCCTGACGGGGAATCTAATCAGGATCTCTCAGTCCATGGGACGATGCTCACTCCACTGAGCCACACCAGCCAGACTTGGATTCTTTATTCTTTGGATAAAGAATTGTTATCTAATACTTAATTGGCCAGTGGGGAAGGCCCTTTAACCTGGCTCCTTTGTTTAGTTAGCATATATCCATATGATTCTTTCACCACTTCATTTTTGGGAGATTCATCTTGTCCTTCCTAGCACTGGGACCCATCATTTCTCCAGCAGCCCTCGTTCCCTGTGGTGGAAGGACGTATTTAGAAACCAAGACCTCAGTTCTAGATGTCTGTTTCTAGGTACCCCCAATGGACAGAGCTAGGAAATACATGTTGTATAACACATGTATGTAGATGTGTGTATATCTGTCTTTTTCTATTCATCTGTGTTTATTTAAAACCATGAGGTTATCATACTGATTGCTGATTTGGTCCAGCATTCTGTCTCTCCTGTTTGTGCGGCCTTCCCCGGCAGTGAGGAACCCGGCGCCCGCTCTCCACACATCCTGATTCGCTCAGCCCTGGAATACACCACAGGAGCCAGAAGGACGATAACGCACGTCTCTGAAAAACAAACCTAGTAGCCAGAGTTCGGTATTTGTTTATAGTTTTTTTGTCTTTAGTCTGAGGATAATATAGTTAAAATTCTGTGTTCAAACGTTATCTTTCTCTAATTTCAGTGTGATCATGTTATTTGAAATACAGTTAGGTAGGTGCTTTCTATTCCATGTTAAGGGTCCCTCCCATTCTTACTGATCTTGGGTTTTGGTTTTGAGTTACTGTTTTGAGCGTGAAACATTAACATAGCTCCATGAGTCAGAACTGTACAGAGGTTCTGCTCCTCTTACCCCTGTTCCCGCTCCCCATAAAAAACCAGTCTCCTTGCTTTATGGTTCTCTTTACACAAATGAGTAGATACATGTATATTATTTCTACTTCTTACAACAAAAAGTAGTATGCTATGCTCCTTTTTGTTGTTTTGTTTTGCTTCTGCACCTTGCTTTCTTCAGTTAGCAATGTATCATAGAAATGATTCCATGCTGAACCTTCATGGAAGGTCTGTAGAACCTTCCTCACTTTCTACACGGCTACCTCATATCCCATTGTGTGGACATACCATGGTTTACTTAGCCACCCAAGCATTTCAGTTTCCAATAGTTCTCAACCACAAATGTACTACAATGACTAATTTGTGGAAATGTGTTCTTGTATTGCGAGAGGCGTACCGTCAGGGCACAGTGTAAGGTAACGGTAGGTGTTGTTTTGTTAGTTAAGCTCGCTCCGCGAGGACGGCACCGCGGGCGTTCCCACCAGCAGCTGGGGAGAGCCTCCTGCCCGCTTCCCCTCAGTCTCTGAATGTGTCGTAAGATGTACATTTTTGCCAGTCTGATAATCGATGAGAAACGGGACTGCAGTGGAGTTTTAATTTGCATTTCTCCTTTCTGGGTGAAGTTGAACAGCTTCTGAAACTCTTAAGGGTCATTTTTATATCTTTAATTTTTGTGACTTGTCTTTTGCCTACTTTCTGATGGGTGTTTGGTCTCCCTGCCACCGCCTGCCTCCCCTCCCGAGTGTTAAAGATCTCTTTATATATTAAGAATATTAGTTCTTGCCCTGGCTGATTTGGCTCAGCAGTTGGAGCATCAGCCCTCAGACCAAAGGGTTGCGGGTTCAATTCCATTCAAGGGCACATACCTGGGTTGCAGGTTCAATCCCAGATCCTGGTCAGGGTCCTGCAGGAGGCAACCTGTCGATGAGTCTCTCTCTCTCCCTCCCACTCTGTCTAAAAATCAATGGAAGAATATCCTTGGGTGAGGATTAACAACAGCAAAAAAAGAACGTTAGCTTTTTATTTGTGGTGATGTTATATATGTTTCCTCCTGATATTTTCAGTTCATTTTTGACAACAAAAATGTAATGGTAGAGCTCCAATAATCTCCACTATTTTTAATAACTAAAATTACAATGCACGTATGTATCTTATGAGAATATATCTCGTAACTTAAAGGCACAAATACTTCAAAGATAGAGATGCTTGATAAACATATATTGCGATGGCCCTGCCCACGCAAACAGTACTTCCTGATCTTTTTTGAGACAAGAGAATCTCACCAGAGGTGTGGCCCTTCCCCAAAAAGATGCCCATGTGCACCCCTGGCCTGGCTGTGCACCTGCTTCAGACACAACGGACTGCCGAGCTCCAGTCTTTCATGCAACCGTTCCACCCACTTCCAGAAATATACGTGTGTCTCTCCTCTGGTGCCAAGAACAGCCACGTTCCTTTCCTGTCATCATCCCTGCTTTCTGGTTTTGCTTATTTTCCTAGTTGTGATCAGACAGATCCAGACAGTCTTTACTTTGGGTTGGGGAGTGGGGATGAGCAGTGGTCTTCACACTGTAGTGGTTGGAGTCCGAGCAGAACGGTCCCTTCGCAGCCACTAAGTAGCTCATTTCCGTGTCAGCCAGCAGATGAGAGCTGGATGCGGATGGGGCAGATCTCAGAGCGCTTCACTTACTCGGGTACATTACTCGAACTCTCTGAGCTTCCATTTTGTTGCCCTTGAGAAGCAGCATAGCAGTGTTAGTGGAGTAGATGCCTGTCCCCTTCCCCTGTTTGGGTTTTTACCGTCTTTATTTCCCGAGAGTGTGCCTGGGCCTGCTTAGCATGCTTAGCAGAGGAGCAGGAACTGGACTCAAATGGCCAATGCCAGCTAGTTTTTTTAGAGTTTTAAGAAAGACTTGGCTAAAAGTCTTATTTCTCCCCCACTGGAAAGGAAAGAAAAAAAAAAAATACAGAGGAGAACGTAGGACCAGGGAAGATCCTATGATAATGAAAGAATCTATGTATGAAGCTTGAGGCGATTACAGACATAACTGCATTCAAGAAAAAATAACTGCATTTCAGAAATAAGTAAAATCACTAAAAACCTATTTAAATGGATTACAAATGGGGAAATATATATATGGCAAAATTGTGTGTATGGATTATAGTAGGTACCTATCCCTAAAATAAGGACTAAATCAATAGAAAAATAAAGCCAACAACTGGGACAGTTCTTGAGGGCTAGAAGCCAGAATTTTACATTGGAGCCTGTTTCTTCTGCACATAAAAAAGCGCACTAGCGCCCTGGCCGGTTTGGCTCAGCGGTTAGAGCGTCGGCCTGCGGTCCTGAGAGACCCGGGTTCGGTTCCCGCTAAGGGCATGTACCTTGGTTGCAGTTTGTCACCGGCTCTGGTCATTCGTGCGGGTGGCAGCCACTCGATGTGTTCCTTTCACATCGATGTTTCTCTCTCTCTCTGTTCCTCTCTCTCCCTCCCACTCTACCTGAACAAAAAATGGAAAAATGTCCTCCAGTGAGGATAAAAAAAAAAAAAAAAAAGCGCACTAGCAGTACTGGTCTGATATAGCTGTTTTCCTTAAGTAGTGGGAAAGAGGGTTTATCCTGTGAAAAGAAGGGAGAAGGGAGGTCGTTTTCTTAGAATTTAAGAAAATGATTTGAGACTGAAATCTTTTCATTAGAAACACAAGTACAGTTGACCCTTAACACAAGTTTGAACTGTACGGGTCTACTTATATGCAAATTTTCCCCAATAAATAAGTGTATTTTCCTTGTGATTTTCTTAACACTTTTCTCTAGCTTTACTGTAAGAATATGATATATATAATATACATAATACATCTAACACGCAAAATATGTTAATCGACTGTTCATATTATTGGTAAGGCTTTGGTCCACAGCAGACTTTTAGTAATTAAGTTTTGGGGAAGTTAAAAGTTATGCCGTGGCCCTGGCCAGTTTGGCTCAGCGGTGGGAGCATCGGCCTGCGGACCAGAGAGTCCCGGGTTTGGTTCCCGCTAAGGGCACGTACAGGAAAAAAAAAGTTATGCTGTGGATTTTTGACCGCCTGGGGGTCAGCACTCATAACCCCACACAGTTGTCTCCTGATAGCAGTATTTCCTGGTTTTGCACAATCTAACCTGAGTGCCTCTTACTTGAGGGAACAGGTGTCTGACTCCTTCCACTCAGTGGTTGGCTGCCTTGTTCCTGCCTGCTGGTTGCTTATCTCAGAATTGTCTCTGTTTCAGGTCTCTGTCCTAGGATGCCCTGACCCAGTGGTGCATGAGATTGCCTATCAATACGGAAAAAATGTGGGAATAGCTTTTCAGGTTGGTCCACTTTGTAAGACTGGCCCGTTGTACAGTGGGAGGCGCGGCTGTAATGGGGTGGTGATGCTTATGACATTCCTTTTGTCCTTCACTAGCTAATAGATGATGTACTGGACTTCACCTCATGTTCTGAGCAGATGGGCAAACCAACGTCAGCTGATCTGAAGCTCGGGTTAGCCACCGGCCCTGTCTTATTTGCTTGTCAGCAGGTAAGTTTTACCAAAGTCCCTTTGACACACTGCTGGGCACCGCTACAGAACCCGTCTCCGGGCACAGCGGATGGCAAGGTTCGGATGAGCAGCAGCAGTACTGTATGTATTTAGGTCAGAGACCTCAGATCTGGATTTGATCCTGGCTCTGTGACTCAGACGTTGGGGCCAATCATTTCACCTCTGAGCTTGATGTTTCCTTATCTGGAAAACTGAGATTACAGCCTTCGTGCCAGGGTTGTTGTGAGGATTAACTGAGGTAATATTCATGGGGCTACTGTGTAAATGAAGTGCTGTATGCATTTAAGGTAGCGTTATGATTCTTCCTTGTATTTAGAGCACCGACAAGGTGGTTTCCACAGCTTGATTCTAGGGCTGGACTCGGTGTGCCTCAGAACCCCTTCGAAGGCACAGGAAGGGCCTCCAGGCCTAAGGAATTTGGGGACCGTCTCCAGTTCTAGACGTGTAATGGAACTGTCTGCTGCTCTGAGGGCCGTGGCCACTGCCTCAAAATGGCAGGAAGTCAGTGGAGTCACTGCTGGAACCACAGTTCCTCCCTCCCTCACACTGAGGGTGTCAAGAAGGAAAGCTGCCTTCCTATTCTTAGTATGGGTGAAGAGCGCCGGGAACTGTCAAGGAGACGGTGTCACAGCCTGCTCTGGATGCTTTGGTCGTGCCAAATGTCATTTGCAGTAAGTGGGACGCTGGCTGGTGTTTGGACATCCTTTTAAAAGATTTCATCGTAGTAGTATGTATTTATTATTTAGCAAAGCAGTAAGATGTTCATCGCCATGCCATGAAATTAAAAATTAGCTTTTTGGCCTGAAATTTTAGTAACTTGAAGCCTTTCAGAGATTTAAATTCTGTCTTCCATAGAACTCAATGATTCCATTTTAATATAACAGAAACCAGTGACTTGGCTTTTGATCAGTTTCTGACCAAAAAAGGAGAGATCATCTTTTTTCCGCTATGTAGAGCCATAACCAGGGCAATTCTTCTGAGGAGGCTGGTGGCCTGGGGCTGGGCCAGGTTACCACGAGCAGCACTCGTGGACAGCAGTCGCTGAGGAATGAGGGCTGTGAGATGCCGAGCACTTTGCAGAACAGGACATTTGAGGCAGAGGCGAGAAGCGAAAGGTGTGCTATAGGTAGGTCTTTTCTCCTATTTAGATAGACGAACTCAAGAATGTTAATACATGTGCCAAGTTCTGACAAAATTTTATAAAATCCCCTTGTATACATTAAAGCATGAGTGAGGAACATTTTCTTTACCATTAACCCCACACCAAAAATACAGGACTCATGAGCCATGTAAAGGTATGCCCGAGATGAGAAAGATCAATCACTGGCTCCCATCTGTAGAACTAAAAGAATTCATGTACTCCTAACCCAACCCTGGTTAGTGAGTGCGAATACAGAACTGGATGGGCTAAGTGCACCAAGATTCTGCCAGTTCGGTGAAGATTCCTTCAGCTAGGCCCTGAGGTTAACAAGACGATGAAGAAACAGGCCGTTCCCTGAAGCACCTTACAGTCTACTAAAAAGTGATTTAAAAAAAATTTTTTTTATTTACTTTTGTTTCTCCTTTTTTCCCCATTGACACCCTCCTCCCCATTCCTCCCATCTTTGTTGTCCATGTCCACTGGTTATACGTATATGAGTACTATGGTTTATCTCCCCCTCGCCCCTCTTCTGAGGATTATTAAGTCTGTACCCTACTTCCACATCTCTGGGTCTACCCTGTTCCTCAGATTGTTATATTCATTGTATTCCACAAATAAGTGAGAGCATGTGATATTTGTCTTTCTCTGCTTGGTTTGTTTTGCTTAGGATAATACTCTCCAGGTCCCTCCATGTCGTCTCAAAGGATAAGAGATCTTTCTTTCTTACAGCTGCATAGTACTCCATTGTGTATATGTACCACAGCTTAAAAAATGATCTTAATTATAAATAATTGTCGTGAACTCCACGATACTAAGTTAACAGCCAAGTACAACTTAAACCTTAAGGTGACTGAGAATAGATACTTCTTGTGGTTGTTTTACTATGAACATATTTCAAGAGGAACTAATTTGCTTTCTTCTACACAGGAGTAATGAGTAATTCTGCCTTCAGATATAGTCAGGAAGAAAATGGACCACTCCTACATACTGATTTGTCAGTAATCTACAAGAGAGTGAAAAATTCTAGTTTAAAAAGGAAAACAAGGATAAGGAACAAAGCTTACAGGGCCCCAAACCACAGTCTTGTGTGTTTCTGGGAAATCCAGCATCACGAGGCACACACTCACCCTCACCAGACAGCACTTTTCCCATCCGCCCAGCAGGCAGTGGGAGGACTTAAAGGCACAATGAAGCCTTAGAAACGGGAACACAGAATGAGACTGAGCAGGAAATGACTCTGGACAGGACCTGTTTCCTAAGCAGGCTGACTGTTCTGTCTTGTGGCACATGGGCCAAAACTAGTCAGATATGTATTTATAAATTGTTTTCAAATAAAACATCAAGTGTAGGCTCTGCTGAGGATTGCAGTGTGCTTGCTCTCCATTTAATGAAAATGCATTGTTTTCATAGTTTGCAAAGGATTCTTTCATACATTCTCTCTAAACTCACAAATCCTCTTTTGGGGTTAGGTATTATGTCCAGTCTACAAATAAGAAAGTGGTGCTCAGACCTGGCCAAAATCAAACATTTAGTAAACAGCACAGCAGGCAGTTAAACACTCCAAGTCTTCTAAGCCCACTCTCCGTTTTACTACGCAGGGTAGCATTACTGCCACTGCTGTAACGGCTGGTACCTGATGAGCTTGTCTGGTGTGCAGCAGGTCTTCCCCCGAGGAGGTAGCCGGTGCACTCTGGCACTGCAAACGTACTGACAACACTCAAAAGTCTGTGTCAGCTTTCATTGTTGGTGACTGACAAGCCAATCAGTGGAGTAGTTGTAAGGTGTTTGTACTCTTTGACCATAGGCAGGTGAGCTCTGTTTGCAGATTAGAATAATCCATGTTTGAACTTTTCCATTTGTGAACACGGAGTCTCACTGGACCAAGAGAACCGACCTTAGGAAACGACTTTTCCTTTTTAACTTAGCATGGCGAATTTGACATTTGTTGGACCCAGCAACTTGATACCAATTTCCTCTCTGGAATTCACTATTTTTGACACCTCTCTGAAGGGGTTTCCCAACAAGAGTTGGTACGGGGGGGGGGGGGGGGCTAAGAAAATTTTCGGGATTTCTAGAGAGGTCCCAGTGACAACAGTGTCCTTCCATGAGTATGTGCGTACATATTTTCTTTAAGAACAAAAACCTCACGTTAAATCTTTAAAGAGGATATGGGTCTCGGATTTTGAATCTTCAGAAACAAATGGAAGTGTTTTGTTTCTTTTCTGTGAGACATTAGTGACTTCTCAAATATCCTTTAAGAGACCTCCTTTCTTCTTCTGATTCTCTTATTTGCTAAGTCTCTAGACCTAAATGTCAGACTGGAGCTGTCCTTCCAGCTGCCATCACTGTCACCAGCCCCTGCGCCAGCTGCACAGGCTTCTGCTGTTGTGACTGCGTGGTGCTTTAAAGAGGTACCTGTTTTGTTGAAGCTCACTCCAGCTTATTGATTGATCCTTTGTAGTTTAGTTTATGGTATAGTTTAGATTTCAGAGACAGAATCTGATTAATCCGCAGCTGGTTTTCCTTCTCTAAAAACAGAGATGGAGCCAATAAAATGTGACTTATTTCTCACTAAATCTGCAGGCAGGCAGCTGTTCTTCCTGTTGTTTCTCATTGCTTCTCCACATACACATGAAGGGGACAGGAGCCTGGGGGAAGAGTTTGATATTTGCATAGTAAAACTGCTCACAGTACATGTTTCAAAGGAAGGATGTATTCACACTCAATGCACATATTTTTTTCAAATTTTGCTTTCTCAATGCTTTTTATAATAAAAGGAATAAACAAAACTTTCCAATCAGCACATTTTTACCACACTTGTTGATAGTGCAGAAAAAGCTCATAACCATAAACAAGGAGATTTTACCAGATGCCCAGGATAATATCACATCAGCTGTGAGGATATAACCGAGAAATTCAGTTTTAGAATGTGTTAAGACAAGTATCTTTCAACAACTTAAATTTTGTGGTTAAATTTTTAACCACTAAAATTGATTGATTTTAGCTTTCCTGATTTGTTTCCTGTAAAAAAATTATTTTACTCTTAAAGACCAATAGCTAAAGCAAATTACTGGTTTTCATTTGGAAACTAACCAGTTGCTATCTCTAAATACTATGAGCACGTTAGCGGCCTCTACATGTTTAGAACTTTGTTCTGACACATACTTTGCCCTGAAAGGAACATTCTTACGCCCTCATCTGCCATCATCTGGTTGAGGTTTTTCTGTGTGTCCCATTTATCTTCTAGGATTATTAATACTGTGGTGGTGGTTTCAGGATAACAATTTATTTCACCCTCAGGCTCACTGCCAGGGAAAAACTGGCAACTGCTGTAAGTGCTGACGTGTCCAAACAGCATCTTACTTCTTACTTCATGGAACCATAAGCTGTTAGGAGCTACTGGATTTCAAATCACGTAGTTGAGCTCCTTCATGACACAGATGGGGTGGCTAGGACCCAAGGGATTAAGGGACTCACTTAGCTGTGGCAGCACCAACACTGGAGCTTGGATCTAGAAAATGTGTCCTGGCTTCCTAGTTCTGTTAAATGGTGACTATTCTCCTAAATCATTGCTACGTATCATAGAAGATAGTTTTTATCTTCAATGCCTTTTGTACCTGTTTTCTTTTTACCTCTTATTGCCATCAGCTTAGCACTGGTCTTTATAATTTACCGCAGCACTCTGACTGCTATTTCTACCTCTCCTCTAATTCAATTGTTTTCAACCTTGGCTACACAATAATAACACCTGGAAAGTTTAAAATCCTGATGCCAGGGCCAGACCCAAGCCAAAATAATCAGTCTTTAGAAGCAGACCCAGGCAACTGGATTATAAACCTCCCCACATGATTCTGGCGTGCAGTCAGCCTTGAGTGCCGCTGAGACAGAGCTCTGTTCTAAACCCCTGCTCAGAAATCTCAATAGCTTTTAAGTGTCCCTAGATTTAGTTAGTACTAAAAGTAGAATACCTGATTCCCACCCTCTTCCTAGCCCAGTGTTCTCATAATGTTGGCAGGCACTAGCAGAACTTGTGAGCAATGCTCAGGCCCACCCCCACTGAACTAAAAACTTGGGGGAGAGGCCCAACAGGCCTCTGGCGATTCTACTGGAATTTCAAGAACCATAAAAGAAATCAGGAGATTTTAGAGATGTCGTTTGTTCCTTCTCTTTCCTACTCAGCTTTGGACCGAGGACAGAATAGAACATGAGGATGAACACTGCACCAGCCCAGGCCTTGGGCATGGAAAATGGATCTTTCTTAGCTCTGCTACTTTAATTGCTACAATTATTGCTCCCCTACATCAACAGATCACTCTTTTGTTTTTTCCTATTGTTACAAACTAGTATTAGGACATTTGATATTTTCTTTCTTTATGGTTAGTTCCCAGAAATGAATGCTATGATAATGAGACGGTTCAGTTTGCCAGGAGATGTGGACAGAGCTCGACAATACGTACTACAGGTAAGATTATTTTAAAAGAAAAAAGGCAACCGCAGATAACTGAGAGGGAAAGTCTTGTGTAATTCATTTTTCTTCCAGAATTCTTTCTACTGATTCTAATTTAATTGGTCTCGGGTAAGGATAAGACAGTAATTTTTTTAAAGCTACCCAAGTGATTCTAACATGCAGTCAGGGTTGGGACCCATTGGTTTCTTGTTTTTTTTTTAATCCTCACCTGAGGATGGATGGATGGATGGACACATACGTGTGTGTGTGTGTGTGTGTGTGTGTGTGTGTGTTTTTCTATTTATCTTCAGATAGCGTGGGAGGGAGACAGAGAGGAACATCAACATGAGAGGGGCACATTATCTGGTTGCCTCTCACACAACCCCAACCAGGGCCGGGGATGAACCACAGCCAATGGACACGCCCTTGACCAGAATGGAACCTGTGACTCATTGTTCCGTAGGCCGATGCTCTAACCACTGAGCATAACCAGCCAGGGCAGGACCCATTGGTTTGAAACCAGTCTACCTACATCTGTCAGTAGCACAAATTTCTCCCAGTCACCAGACTTGCCTCCAACCTAGTCTAGGCCCTCACCCTTGCCACACAGGTAGACTATTAAGCAGTCTACTCAAAATTGGCCTTTTCCTAGTCCATCCTATATGACTGCCACAAAGGCGTAACTAAAGAAATGTTAACTTAAAAAATTAAACCAACATAGGCAAACTAAACTGTTTAACCTTTGGAGCTTTAAGTTTATTTCAAATATATTGTCATATATCCTCAGTGCTTTTCTGTTGAAGCTAGGTCTTTCTGTATATTTGTTTTGATGACTATCTTTTGAGAATCAACTGTTTCTAAGACCCAAATCTAAAGTCACTTGGAACTAATAAATCTAGTTATTGAGATCAAGCAAGCATATAATTTTTAGTAAACAAATATGGTCTGAGATCTCCAGTTTGTCAAATGCTTGAAAGAATTGCAAATAACTGCCTTTTAGATTTTTTTGTAAATCCTCGCCCGAGGATATTTTTCCATTTATCTTCAGATAGGGAGGGAGGGAGGGAGGGAGGGAGGGGGAGGGGAGAGGGAGGGGGAGGGGAGAGAGAGAGAGAGAGAGAGAGAGAGGCGAGAGAGACACATCAACTGGGCGCCTCCCACACGACTCTGACCAGGGCTGGGGACCTAACTGGAACTGAGGTAATGCCCCTGACCAGAATCAAACCCAAGTCTCTTTGGTCTGCAGGCCGACACTCTAACCACTGAGCCAAACTGGCGAGGGCACCTTTTAGATTTTTTAAATTTCAAAAAAGCAAATCCCCTCCAAAGGCTGTATTTCTCTTTTAACTCTCTATACTGTTAAGCATCATAATTTGCTATGGGTTACCACCTTTTTTGGAGGGTAGTTTGGAAGTCCCAGTAAAAATTCAATTTGAGAGGGGCTGTAGCTGATAAAGAAGTTGCTATGCCTGGGAGAGGAGTTCTGGCTTCGGAAATAACAGTATTACTGAAGGGCGAAGGCAGAAGTGGGACTGAAGCTCTTATGCAAGACACTCAAGTTTCAGCAAGCCTAGGCATAAATGTACTTAGGAAAAACTCCACAGAATGGTCTCTAAACAAATTCTCCAATTCTAGCTCCCTTTCCACCCAGAGCTCCTAATCACTATTCCCTCATTAAGTATGAATGGACAACTAAGATTTCTTTAGTAGGATTACTAAATAGCTGATTCAAGTGTGCTGAATGAAAGAGACTAAGATAAACAAAGTGAAAAAGCATAATTATAGGATTCAAAAATAACAGAACTCATAAAACATGAACAGGATATTATCTTTAAACAATGAAAAAGAATGAGCTCTTAGAAATTTTAAATGACTGGAAACTAACTCCTAACAATTGGAACACAGAATTGAGGAAATCTTCGAAAATGTAAATAGCAAGGGAAGAAAAGGCGAAAAGCTCCTAAGATTCATCAATACAATCATGTAACAAATAGTAGCAGGCAGTGAACAAGGCCTTCCAAATGATGAGGAAACATTTTAAACCTACAATTCTATATCCAGTCCAGTAACTCTGAAGGCAAAAGTCATCACACATAAGGAATAAAAAGTTGGCTTCCAATACGCATTTTCTGAGTAAGTTGTTTGTGGATGTATTTCAACAAAAGTCTGAAAATACCAAGAAAGGAAGGTGCAGGTACTAAAACCAGTGGAATGAATCCAAGAGTTTAATAAAAAGTCATGCTGTGATGGCAGTTGTACAAGAGCTATAAAAAAAAAGTATAAGTAACAAATAGAATGATTAAGGATTTAGAAATATTAGGAATCAGGAGCTTCTTTCCCAGAGAGGAAGAAAAGGAGGCAACTACAGAAGTGGGCTCTGTAGTATAGGAAGACACAGCCAACTACAATATGTCATTTTGTGTCACTGGTATAGTACAGAAAATCAGAGGCCTTTCAACGTGTTAGGAATATTCTACTCTCAATGATAGAGGCATCATGAATTTGGAACCATGGAGAAGGAAATAAAATTGTTGATTTGAACATACTATGACCATTTTTACATTGTGGAAATAAATTTTATCAGTGTTCAGCTTTTAGAAAGAACCAACATAAAAACATGGTTAGTTACAGAATAGAATGCAAACCTGTCTATAGTGTTAAGGTATAGTTAAAAATGGAAGAATAGGAGCTCTGGTTTCCTCATCTACACAAGATAAAGTCAGACTATGTGGTGGCAAAAGTAATCAATAGAAGAACTAAAGGCAACAATACAGGGTGGAGCAAAAGTAGGTTTATAGTTGTTTGTATGGAAAATACAATAATAAGTAATGCAAAAATAAACCTACTTTTGTCCCATCCTGTATAATCAAATTTGGATCCTAGGATGGGTTGGCTGTATCCTCAGCAGAAAGGCAATGGATAATAACTGAAGTTGATAATTAAGAAACAAAAAACCAATGGATAAAAAACTGGTGCCTTTGGAAAATGAGAACTATTGATTTTCATCATCAGCTCTTCAACTTTCACTTTAGATTTTTTTCATTTTAAAATGTACTATGTATTTTATGTATGTAGGACTTTCAAAAAACTCTAGTACTTAAAATTAAAAATAGGTGGCTACTTGATATTAAGGAGTTAGTTGCTTTACATGCAAATGCTAATAGAGTGAAAATATGCTTTAATTGGAGAAAAGGGCCTAAAAGAAGTAGGCAGAGGAAGCCAGCACTATGAGTTGAAGAGAGAACATAAGAAGCATAGTTTGGCTGTTAACTAATATAATCTCAAAAATATGTTTTAATTCATTATACGTAATGAATTTAAGAGATGATCCAGTAGGTAACATGCATCTGTTTGTTTTTTCTGTATCACACAGAGTGATGGTGTGCAACAAACAACCTACCTCGCCCAGCAGTACTGCCATGAAGCAGTGAGAGAGATCAGTAAACTTCGACCATCCCCAGAAAGAGATGCCCTCATACAACTCTCAGAAACTGTACTCACAAGAGATAAATGACAAGTCTTTCTGTTATTTCTGGCAGCTATTTTACCAGACTGTGCCTAAAGAATTTTGTGGAATATACTTTGCTTCACGTGCAGATAACCAAAAATCATTTTAAAAAATCATTTCAACCTTAATGATGGGCAATTCTTTTTTATTGGCAAAGTTTTTCAGAAAAGTTTTAAAATAATTAGATCATCTGGAACTGTCATTCTTGTCCTATAAATTCTAATCGAGGTATCTTGATGGTTATATGTGGTATTGTTTACACTGTTAATATTCACATGTAAAGCCATTACACAAATAAATAATCAATGTTAAAATTCAAATGGTTTATCTTGTTTCACCACAGGAGTAAATGTCAGAGAACTGAGAAGTCTACATTTCAATCAGCATTAGATTTTAACAGTATCCAAAATTTCGTATAGGAGAATGGTTCATTATAAAAGACTGTACATAAAATTTAGACGAGTTATATACAAAATTAAGACACATTCCACTTGAAAAAATGAAATGAAAAGGTATCTAGGTGATCACTAGTGATAAAATCATGTTTAAAATTAACAAGGCAAAATGCATATGCAACAGTCATATTGATTTGGTAGCAATGGTCTTTAATTCTCAGAAATAAATGTTTCGCACTAGTCTTACCATTTACTATGCTGTTAGAAGTCTGTAACACCCAGTACATAACTGCAATAAGAAATCCAGACAATTCCTCAATACACAGAAACCCACACTTGAGTGCTTTATTTTATATCCTAGACAATATAGAATTATACACAACAGAAAACATCTCTCTAAACCTCCCTTAATTAAGAGGAGACACACAAAGTGCATGTGTTGCATTTCAATTATGTCAAAAGACAATACAAATCTGTTGGTCAGGTATATCCCTGTTCACTGATTAATATATGACCCACCTTTTCCCCAATTATTTAAAAAATCATTTTGTGTTGCTAGTGCCAGGTAATGGACTAAATAGTGCCTATCCAAAAATCAATTGCATCCACTTCTATAAAACAGTATGTAAAAGATACTTATGATTTCCTTTCATTGAACAGTCCACTGGAAAACTGAAGGACTGGTAACAGCAATCCTTAAGAATTTTACCTTCAGAATGCATATACTTTTACACATTTTCTTAGCTCTGAAAAAGTTACTTTAGAAAAGCAATTAGGTAGATTGACTTGTAAGTAACTTCTTCAGATTTTAAACCTGCAAAAATCAGTCACATTTGATATTGGGACAGGTTGAGATAAAGCTAAAATTTTTTCCCAAGTTAATATACTGAGAAAATAGAACCATAATTCTGCAATAAATCAGTATCTTTTATTTACTTTTTAAAAAACAAATCAGTGAAGAAAAGGATAAAGACCTTTGGTTCACTTATGTATTTGCGAATGGAAAAAATTTATAATGCAAATTCACTCATTAAAAAACTTAAGTACAAATTACAGCATTACAGATACCCCTTTCTTTGTTTTGTTTTGTTTCACAAGGAAACCTTAGAGACTCGATTCATTTCAAGAGACCTAAGTACGAGTACTCCAAGAAAATATTACACAAATTGGAAGCATCTTGGATTTTTTTAAGTATATTTCAATACATAAATTTGTATGCATGCTTTAAACAATAGTTATATTTAAAGAATGAGAGAGTCTAAACAAAAGATATGACGACCAGCACCAGCATTTAAGTTTCCGATTTTAATATTAGTCTGACATAGCATTAGTAACCATGCTGCACTGAAACATGTAATGGTACAATCTGAATCATGATTTGTTAAATATACCCCACACCCCCAGAATATTTAAGCTGGTCATAAAGTTAACATTGTGTAAGTAATTATATAAGCATAATCAGTTATGGACAGCCTCTTGTATAAATTGCTGTTTAGCAATACACACACTGTCTCAAAAATTTATGCTTACAAGGTAGACATTCAATTATATCAATAAAACAGCATGTCCTGAAAATATGGGCACATTTTAAGACAATTTTGTTAACCATTAATAGTCCCACAGTATGACTGAGTAATAATAAGAACCTACTTTAAAAGCAGAAAAATTTAATCAGTATAGTGCATGATTGATTCAACATAGTTCCCAGGGAACAGACCAGTCACTCGATTGCAGACTCCTTCATACCAGCCATCATCATTCTTCTTTATTACATAAATGATTGCACCCTCCATAAATGATAGCTCATCATCCTTGTCTTTTGTATAATCATATATTGCCACAACTATGGAGAAAAGAGTTGAAATAACAAGTGAGTGCACCATATCCAAAATTTAATTGACTTAAAATATAATATCAATTAAAGCTATAGTATAATAAAACTATTTTTAGAAATATTCTTAATTCTTACATCTATAAATATAGGAAGACCAGTGGCCAACTAGGTACCTAAATCAACAGCTTGATCTTACGGCCAAACTGACAATCTGATTAGACTAGAAAAATCAATAGTTTCTACCAATCTATTTAGGGAATGTCTCTGAATTTCAGGGTTTATTAGATATCTACAAAGTGACAACTGTATGTAAAACACCATTTTTCAAAATAACTATTGGGCAAAGCTGCATAGCCAATCAGTAAACCAGCTATCTAATTTGAAAATACACATACCTGGAGGTAAATCTCATCTACTCATCTAAGGAAAATATTCATGTAATTTATGGGGCTATACTTAGACTATTTTACAGAGTATTTATACACTTTAAAGGTCAACAGGGGGGAAACTGAGTAAAGACCCATTAATTAAGACTTAAAGAACTATTTGTAATTTGGTAGTATCTGTGATCATTTTGAGTTCAAAATATTCACTTTCTTTGCACAGTGTCATAGAAAGAAAAGGCCTAAAAAAATTTTTACTAGTTTTCTAAACTACTAGAGTTCATAGATTTAATTATTCCTTCATTCTGCCTTGATAGCATAATAACTCTGAAATTATATGTAATCTTCTAGTAAATATGAAACAGTACATGACAAATTTTTTTCATTGATTTGCCTCGTGTAGTTTTTCTTAAAATAGAGTTCCTAAGACATTTAAGATGTTCTGGAACTCACTTTTCCCCTAAAAAAGATGGCAACTCCCCATAACTATTCTGAAATGGGGAATTACAAGAAAGACACCTGAAGTACTAATCCACAGCATCATTTGCTAAATTAAAATACGCAATCTTTTTTTCCCTTTACAAAACACTGTTATTAAGTAAACTCAACAGGTCCACTCCTCTCCATTTTATTATTTTTTTAAATTAATTAATTTATTTCTTTAATCCTCACCCGAGAACATTTTTCCATTTTTTGTTCAGATAGAGTGGGAGGAGAAAGAGAGAGAAATATCGACGTGAAAGGGACACATCGAGTGGCTGCCTCCCGCATGACCCAACCAGGGCCGGGGACAAACAGCAACTGAGGTAACGTGCCCTTAGTGGGAACCAAACCCAGGTATCTCTGGATCACAGGCCGATGCTCAAACCGCTGAGCCAAACTGGCCAGGGCCACTCCTCTCCATTTTAATCCTGCAGCAGAATCATAGTATTGTGATTACAAGCTTACTGACATAAAGTTGTCTTTTAAAACCCCAAAACAGCCCTGGCTGGTTTGGCTCAGCGGTTAGAGCATTAGCCTGAGGACAAGGACTGAAGGGTCTCCGGTTCAATTCCTGGTCAAGGGCATATACCTGGGTTGCAGGTTCGATCTCCATCCCCAGTGTGGGTCATGCAGGAGGCAACCAATCAATGTGTTTCTCTTTCTCTCTCTCTCCCTCCCTCCCTTCCTCCCTCCCACTGTATCTAAAAATAAAAAATAAACCCCTAAACATAAAGAATAAATAATATTAAATTATCCTGGTATTATTTTTGTCTAAAAAGCCATACAAGAAAACTGACTGATAGCTAGATATAGCAAAGAAAATAAGGTAATAAAGTCAACTATTAATTATTAACCTTTCAATATTTATTTTTATGATTTACCTTTGAAAACATTAATTTCTTTGTATTCAGACTTATAATGGATTAGATTTTGAGTGCTACAGACTTTTAAACTAATCATGACAAAGGCCTGACACCCTCAAAGTCATTCAGCAGAATAAAAGTGTTGTTTCCTCTTGTTCTTAGCTCCACTTATACATGGAGCTGGTAAAAGTACTGAGCTCAATTAATAATGTTTTGATTTTTCAAGTCCCCTCTGTAAATGAAACCTAGTTGCACCCAATCTCCCCTCCCCCAATGCACATTCTCTCACATAATAACTCTTACTGCTGAGTATTTAACCATTAACAATTCCATGTCCATTCTGCTCTCCAGGATCCTAATACACAGATATATAATCCTACTAAATATCAACTTTTTGATTTAGAATAGTGGTCAACAAACAACTGCCCATGGCCAAATCCAAGTCACTGCCTTTTTGTAAATAAAGTTTTATTAGAACACAACCACATCCACTCACTTGTATATGGTCTATGGCTGCTTTTATGCTATAACAGAGGGGTTCAGTAGTTGTAAAAAGAGACTATGTGCTGGCAAAGTTTTAAATATTTCATTTTGCAATATATACAAATATTGAATCACTACATTGTATACCTGAAACCAATATAATGTTATGTCAATTATACCTCAAAATTTTAAAAAGTTAAAAAAATGTATCTAGTCTATTACAAAAAATATCTGATGGCCCCAGTTTAAGACTCAGCATTTCAACTTGTGAAGATATTTTTTTTAATCCTTCTGGGTTACCAATTGTATTCACCATTCTATCATTCCAATTTTTTCAACTTACATAAATATAATATTCCCAACTTCATAGATAATTACAGTTAAATTTACTTTTCCAAGCCAGAAAGTATGACTACTCAAGTTTATCACCCTCATAACCACAACACATCTCTATTTGAAAGTACATGAAAATGTAAAGTAGAATATTCAAGACTTCCTAAACAATATGCAGAATATTTACTTTTAAAAAATATAAAAAAGGAAAACAGCAAATTTACTTTTATTCATGTATTTAAAACTTGGGCAGGAGAGAAAAGGAATAGGTCTCAAGATCTACAGCTACTTGTTTAAGGTCAGTTACTTCATTCAATACAGCCAATCTTAGTAAGAAAATATATTTCAAATGCAATCAAATCTGATCAACTAAATTACAAGCATTTTTTCCTAACTACACAAATACATATTTTTATTTAAAATATGTTTTTATTGCCCTGGCCAGTTTGGCTCAGCAGTTAGAGCATCGAGCTGCGGTCCAGAGAGACCTGGGTTCGGTTCCCGCTAAGGGCGCATACCTCAGTTGCAGTTTGTCTCCGGCCCTGGTTGGGTTGTGTGGGTGGCAGCCACTCAATGTGTCCCTTTCACATTGATGTTTCTCTCCCTCTCCCTCTCTCTCTTCCTCTTTCTCCCTCCCACTCTATCTGAACAAAAAATGGGAAAATGTCCTCAGGTGAGGAAATAAATAAATAAATAAATAAATAAATAAATAAATAAATGTATGTTTTTAATGATTTTTAGAAAGAGAGGAAGAAAAAGAAATATCGATTGCCTGCCTCCTGCACGCCCCCTACTGGGGATTGAGCCTGAAACCCAGGCATGTGCCCTGACCAGAATTGAACTGAGACCTCTCAGTCCATGGAACGATGCT